AAACGACAATTTCATAATTGCACATATGTTTTTTATTGTTGTTGTTGTTTTTCTTATTTTGTAACATGCATGGATTAAAGAATTTGTTTTTGTTTTTTCAGAAAAGCAAATTTAAGAAAAGTGTACTATTCTTTTTTTAAAAAGTTTTTAAAATCCATAGCTTTGTGCTATTAATAACTGAATTTTGCAGTTTTTATCACCATATTTCTATTGCCCGACCAACGCAGTAAGGACTGCGTGTGTTTGAATAAAGTTCACTTTACAAAATTTTACTTTCAAATATATTTTTAAACTGTTCATGAAAATAAGCATGAATCTTGAGGCATGCTGTGTTTAGTTATTTGATCAATTTTCTCTTTTAAAATTAATATGGGCAAGTCAAAGGTTTCGCGGTCCTGGGCTTTGGCTTGCCCGCTTATAGACTATTCGTGCATATCTAAAAGAAATTCAAATTGAAAAAAAAGAAATATTTATCAGTCACATTTTCGGTGTCATTTCTGGTCAGCTGCCGCCATTTTTAACGTAACGCATGATAACATAACAATCGCAACTTTTCGGCTTTAGAGTAATCGTCGAAATATTCCGATTAAAAACGGAAGAGGCGCGTGAAATACCGAATGACACCGTGTAAAATAAAAAATGGACGATTATATATATACTTCCCCGTCCATAGGCTTTGTCTACTTTTATATTATTTTTTAACATTGATAAAAAGAAAAGAATTTTTCTTATTATTTAAATATGAAAAAGGCAAAGCCTCAAAGCGAGCTCGATTTTCTTTTACCGTAAGATAGTTTAAAAGACTCGTTCATTTTTATTTTACATTTTCCGTTTTAAAATTGTCATTCGGTATTTTATACACTGCTTCCGTTTATTCTGGTTCCTCCTTTCTATTATGGTTCCTATATAAGTGCGCTGAACACCAGTCTACGCTTCCGTTTTCAGTCAGAGTACATCGGCTTTTATAGTTATCTTGTAATTCAAAAAGTTGCGATGTGTCCAATTCGGTACTTCGGACGAAAGTTTTCAAAACCATCACTTAGCAGGTACTCGCGTTACCGTAAAGCTCGCTTTGCGAGCAGGACCTTCGGGCCAGCTCGTCGAGCTCGCTATAACAGAGAGTAATTTACAAGTAAATCATTATTGCCTTTCTTTATAGAAGCACAAAATATTATTCGATATGATTCGATTAAGAATAACATGTCATAAAAACAGGGTACACATTGAACTTCTTACTAATGAAACACGAGAACATTACGTGATTAGACAGGCTCACATTACTAGTGCTTTAGAAAATGAGAATTCATTGATTAAACTGTTGCTGTCATAAAGCTAATCTTATCTTGGTATAAAAAATGTAATAATGTAAACAACCTATCAAGTGTCATAGTTAATAAAACGAGATACGCAAATTGGTTGAGCTTAAATTTTTTTTTTTTCATTTAAATTTATATTTGTAGCTTAGTAAAATAATTATCTATGAAATTTTTAAGCGAATCGTGGCTTTCAATTTTTTATTTAGAATATTGAAATAAAAATGATGTAATTAAAAATTTACGAACAAATCAGACGAATGATTGCATCACAACCTATGTAGTACAGAACAGTTCATTACTTGTATACTGCATCCTTAATTTGGAGTACAACTGTTTTCGATTTCGTCTTGACGTATGAAATATACGGTTCTTAATTATGTAAAGCAAACACAGCCAAAGTTTCTATTAGTAGAAAACCTGTAAAACATATACAGAAATAATAAGTTTTCGAAATAAGAAATAGCAAAAGGATTTGGCCCAAGTTCATTAAACAATAGTGATCGGCCCTTCTCTTTAAAGAAACAATCAGATGTGCATTTTATTAATCAGAAGTGATGGCACTCATAAGAGATATTGTAGCATTTATATTGATGATACTGTTGATGCTTTTAATAATGGTCTTCGTAAAACAGATATTCAGTAAAGTAATGAAAATGTTGTATGCAATTGAGATAGTCAACTTCTTTGGAAATTTATTCTTATGAAGACGGTTTTTATATAGCTAATATACTAGTATAATATAGAAGGGAATTTCCTGAATTACCGAAACAGTCTAATGCCCCTCCTTTACACAAATCTCCAGATAGAGAAGATGCGAGTAACTATCACCCAATCTCCGTTTTACCAATGTTCGACCGACACTTGCCTGACCAGATAACAATATTCGTATAGGATATCGACCGAGCACGGTCATTCTGTTCCAGCTGTTTCATAAAATTCGTGACCAGGCCTCGAGGTTATACAACCTTTTTCTGAGCAAGTCTCAAATCTCAACATTTTATTGGCCAGTATGCATTCTGAGCTGGTTTCTGACAAATAATGGAGATCTGAGTTTGAGCTCAGAAAATTTCTTTATAACCTTGGACCTTTGTCTTTCTGAAACAGAAAGATCGATGTACGAGGCCGATATCCAAATTACACACCGTCAAACTATTGGCTAGAGCAATGGCTGATCCAAAGCATTTGATGTAATGCACAAAGATTATTTTTAACTCGGTGCATATACAGGTAAAAGCTTTGAGCAACATTCTGCCTAAGAATAACAAATATTTGCATTTAACTCTGCTTTTCCTTTTAAAAATGCTAAATGTGCAGTTTGTCAATATTAAAGTGACTTGGTCTGTAATGGCAGGTATGTAAAACAATGAATAATTATGTTGATAATATGTTGTATTTCGCATTACACTAGACCATGGAAGACTTAAATATGTATGTCGATGGCAATTGTGAGATACATGATCCGATATTACATAGATATATAGCAGATAAGAAAAAAAATATTAATATTCACCATGCCTCAATTGTTACAAAACTTGGTCAAGATGTTTGTCCGAGTAATTGCTCGAACGACAAGTTCGAAAAAGGGTCATCTAAGAGCAATAGGGCACAGGAGCATAACATTAGAGAAGCCTTGTCAACACTCCAGTAGTTACTGTTTCGGTCCACACGTCCTGAAAATTTGTCAGAAAAGTAGTTTTGATAATTAAGCTTTAATATGGGTCATCTGGGGTAAAAAAATACAATGTATGTCACAAAGCCCAAATATGGAGGAGAAAACATTGTTAACAATCTAAAAGCTACTGTTTCGGTCCAAATATCCTGGAATTTGGTCAGAAAGTTTTTAAATGATTTCTAGGTCAAGTTCGAATATGGGTCACCTGAGGTCAAAAACTAGGTCAAATATAAAAAAAACCTTGATAACACTCTAGAGGCTACTGTTCCGTGCCAATTGTCCTGGAAATTGGTCAGAATGTTTGTTAAGATGGGTCATCTGTGGTTAAAAAAGGTCACTCAGCCATAATATGGAAAATCTTGTAAACACTCTAGAGGAAACATTTTCTGTCAAACTACTATGGAAATTTGTCAGAAAGTTTGTTTAGATGATTTCTTGGTCAAATGCGAACATGGGTTATCTTGGATGAAAAACTAGGTCACACAGCCCAAATTATGGAGAGAAAGAACTTGATAACACCGCGGAGGCAATATTTCCAAATATCCTGGTAAATTGGTCAAAAAGGTTGTTTCGTTGAATTCTAGATTTACTTCGAATATGGATCATTTGGGGTCAAAAACTAGCCCACTGAGCCCAATATGCTAAACTTTTTACATAATACATGTTAACACCAAAAATGTACTATTTTTTTAGCCCAAATATTTTGGAAATTTGTCAGCAAAGTTGTTTAAATATTATCTAGTCAAGTTCGAATATGGGTTATCTTGAGTCAAAAACTAGGTTAAACAGTCCAAATATGGTGAAAAAAACTTTGTTTACAATTGCACTAGTTCAGATGCAGATATTATTAGTTCACTAGTTCAGTTATGATATTAGTTTAAGATAAAGACATTATGTCCACTTTTTATTTATATAACAATATTAATTGGGTTTTTTTTGTCATTTCATTAAGAGTCTTAATAATCAGGTGAGTGATAAAAGACCATCGTGACCTTCTTGTTTAGATTGCTTCACGCCAAAGCAACAAACGATGTTGATGCAGATGATGGCATAGTTCAACACGTTAATAATACTTAAAAATGATAGGTTGTTTATGTCGATAATCATCATGAAAGGAATATTCATGTTATGTGCAAAAATAACATAAATATTGCATTTCTTAAAAAAAAACTTCACATCGTTTCACTTCTGAAATGAAACACATTTTTATAAATGTAATTTTTACAAATTGACATTAAGCCGGTGTTATGGAGCGTGAGGGATGTTGTACTTTTTCATTATCCATCATGTGCAGATTCAATCAAACCAAGTCTGCAACTTTCATGTAATTTTGTTACTGTAATTTATGCTTCTAATGAAGTTCTTTTTTCCAGGTTTTTAGTTTTAGATTATTATTACTCTGTTTTGGGGAAAAGTACTAAATCTGACCTTGCCACAAAAAGGAGCAGCAAAAATAAATAGTACAAAGGTTCGTACGAACACCACATGAATTTCAACAGAAATGTCTAAGTTTAATGATAAGTAATCATAATCATCATCATCATCATCATCTTTATTATTATTATCATTATTATTCTCATCGTCATCGTAATCATCATCATCATCAACAACAACAACATCATCGTCATTATCATCATCATAATCATCATCACCACCATCACCACCACCACCATCATCATTATTATTATAGTTTCTATATGATCACAGACTGACTTTTGAGTCTATTTTAAGTTATAGGAATGATTTATGAAACATTGAACTGGCCTAAAAGCTTTCATGTAATGTATAACTGAGATTTATAGCGTCGACTGCCAACCTGGAAATATTTATGGGTTTTTATTTTCAGATCTTTTAATATACTAGAGATAATAAACAATGTGTGCTGCGTGACATCCTTGCGCAATGACTTTGAAATATTTAAGCTATGTTTATATACGAGTATGTTTGTAATCAAGGGAATATTAAGGTTACCAATATATGTATTTTATGATATTTTTGTTGTTTATTTACAGGTATTGTCCGAACCACTCTTGGATTAGGAATAATTCATCATAAAGGGTTTACACAATGGAATGACAAACCGCCGAGACTTTGTGGATTTCACAATACTGCACGTATAGCTGCCACAAATGCTGATGACGACAAGAAACGTAAACTATGGAAGGCACTAGGATACAGAAATCTAAAAAACTGTTATAATGTGGATACTAATAACGCGAGATGATAGCTTTACATGTAGTATCTAAACAACTTTATACATTGTTCTCCATACAAAGCTAGGTTTCGACTTTAGTTGCGTATTGTTCTTGTCTCTACTTTCATCTCATGTCACTGTTAAACGGAATCTTCATTTCATTGTTACATCATGACTTGATAATTTTTCAGAGTCTTATAATTGTGTTTTATAAACATTTATCATAATATCTTGCCACAAAGGGACAAGTTTAATACATGGAATTTACTTATAAAGATGTTTCGTTTGCCTTTTCTCCGATGAAATCCAAGACTAAAATATAAATCTGATCTCAAAACTGTACGTTTTCCAAATCTTTTGAACAAAATTTTAGCATCAGTCCAGCATGTTGTTACTATAGCACAAGTTCAATATATGGAATTCACGTATAAGGATGTTTCGTTTTGCCTTTTCTACCGTGAATGAACTTGTGTCTGATTTCACAAAGACTGCATCTGATATAATTTGTAAACATGCTCCATTGAAAGAAAGATCAATTACTGTTAGACCCAAACTTCCATGGTACTCTGGATATCTTAAGCAATTAAAACAGTACAAAAGATCAATAGAGAAAATATACTTAAAGGACAGGTCAGATCTCACAAAAATAGTGTACAATAATGTAAGAAACTCCTATACTGCGACAATAGCATCAGCAAAGGATGGGTTCTATCATGGTAGAATTGGAGAGGCTGAAGGGAATGTGAAGAAGTTATATAGCGTGACTTCAGACTTGCTTGGGCGTTCGAAGGATAACCCACTTCCACCTCACACCAGTGAGACGGCACTTGCAAACGATTTCTTGCGTTACTTTAGTGACAAAATCCTTAAACTTCGTGAAGATCTGGATAACATAAACACAGAAACATCATCTTCAGTGATTGATAGTATTATGGCATCTGATGTACCATCAAGTGAAAATATCATGAACAAATTTAAACCACTAAATGAAAAAGACATAATCAAACTTGTGAGTGAATCAAAGTCAACAACATGTGAGTTGGACGTTATGCAAACACCAAAGCTGAAAGAAAATCTTCATTTGCTTGCACCTGTTGTGACAGAAATCGTGAATCGGTCATTGTCTTCTGGTGTTTTTCCAGAGACGTGGAAGAGCGCTGTTATCAAGCCCCTTTTGAAAAAGAAAGGCCTTCCCTTAGAATTGAAACACTATCGGCCTGTATCAAACCTGTCATTCTTGTCGAAAATTCTTGAAAAAGCTGCAATGAACCAAATTTCAAGCCACATTGAGTTCAACAATTTGTTACCATCTTACCAAAGTGCATACAGTAAATTTCACAGTGTTGAGTCTGCTATGATGAAAATGTACAGTGATCTGCTAGAAACAGCTGATAGCCGCCATGTGACAATAGTTGTAATGATTGATTTAAGCGCCGCCTTCGATACTATCGATATACCAATAATACTTGAAATCCTACAGAAAGACTTTGCCATACAGGGTATTCCATTAAAGTGGATCGAATCTTATTTAACCAACAGAGATATGAAAGTTGTCATTGAACAGTCCTCATCGGATACTGAACCACTGAGGTTCCCCAGGGTTCTTGTGCTGGAGCGGTGATATTTACTCTCTATATAGCTGCCCTTAACAAAATAGTCCAGAAATATCCGGCGGAATTGTATGGATATGCAGACGATCATAAAGTGGCATTTAAAATTAGAGCTGGTGACCATCACATCGAAGAAATCGTTCGCCAAAAACTCACTGACTGTCTTAATGATATTGTGTCATGGATGACTAGATTTAAGTTAAAATGAACAATAGCAAAACAGAAATCATCATTTATGGTACAAGACATCAGCTGAAGAAATTGAACATTTCCAGTGTCAATGTTGGTGGGGTCGAAGTCAACTGTGTTGACAATGTGAGAGACCTTGGAGTACAGATGACCAGCACTTTAAGTTTTGACATCCATATTCAAAAGAAGTGTCAGATTGCACACATGCAGTTAAGAAATTTAAAAGCAATCAGAAAACATCTCTCTCAGAAATCTGCAGAAATCCGTGTTCACGGTTTGATTCATTCACATTTAGACTTTTGCAATGGATTATTCGCTGATATTCCAGCCTATCAACTTGATAAATTACAACGTGTGCAGAATTATGCTGCTAGAATTGTCACTGGAGCTGCTTACTATCAATCCAGTGCTGAAATTCTTAAATCACTCCACTGGCTTCCAATTCGAGCAAGAACCATGTACAAAGTTATTGTGACTGTGTTTCGTGTTGCAAATGGCACCACTCCATTGTATCTTCGTAAATTGTTCACTAAATGCCAGAGTCATTACAGGAAAAGACTGAGATCCTCATCATCTAGCCACATTCGGTTTGATATACCATCAACAAATTCAAAACTTGCTGATAGATCCTTGGCTATTGTGGGAACTAAATGGTGGAATTCATTGCCAGACTATCTGAAGGACATTACCAATGAAAATCAGTTTAAGGCCAAACTTAAAACATACTTGTTTGGACTGTTTTTCAACTAGAGTTGTAGATTGGCTGTGCCATCGAGACTGGGTTTGGGAGTGTCTTGATCAAGCATATGTGTATATAGCCTTAAAAATGTACAGCGCAATCGAATATTTAATAAATTTTTGCGCTATATAAATGTCTTGTATTTGTATTTGTATTTGAAATCCAAGACTAAAATATAAATCTAGTTGATCTCAAAAATGTACGTTTTTCAAATCTTTTGAAAAAAATTTTAGCATCAGTCCAGCATGTTGCTACTATAGCACATTTGTAATAAATATATCTTTTGCATGTTCAAAAGACTTGAAAAATAACGTTTTTATTTGAAAGTTATTATTTATTTGAAGTTCTAATGGATTTTCTGAAATTTCCCAATTGAAACATAAAACACTCTTAAAGTTAAAACGGTCGTATAATTTACTATGACAAACAAATTTATATTTGTAATAAATAATGCGTTGTTCTGTTTATCTGAAGTCAACTTGTAAAGTTATCATATAAAGTTCAAAGAAAATCGTCAAATAATATTCACGGAAAATCGTCGAAAAGTCGTCATATTACTTACGTTTATTATTTCAAAAAGAATTATGAAACCCGACATCTTACAATAAACAGAATTCTTGTGCATGTAATATTGTCATATATTCTTTCCTTTTTCAATGAATTTCAACCATATGATCTTTGCAATATATTTTTATGGAAAAGCATACTGTCATGTTCCTTTCATAAAGGTTTTTAATTGCCATTAGCTAATAAAAAAACAATATTTGATATCAAATTTCTTGTATATATATTTTCGATTGTTTCTCTCTGTCATCGCAAAAAGATAGAGAATAATTGTTTGTTTTGCCTGTAAGATTGAATAATATTTCACTGAGTGAACACCAGATGCAATATTTTCACGAGTGACGTAGCCACGGGTGAAAATAGAATAGCTGGTGTTCACGAATGAAATATATATTTTAATCTTATATGTAAAACAAATACATTTTCTTTATATTTCATGCCTTTTAACTGATTTTAAGTACGTTTTTTACTGATATATAACTGTCTAATGCAATATGAAAACTCGAAAAGCAATGACTGCTACCAGCCCGAAGAATAAGTAAACAAGCCAGCGTTCATAAGGCAGTCTTTCAACAATTCCATGTTTTCCAATTTCCTAGCAGCTTTTTGAATGTTTACACATCTGTCAACACTTATTTATTGTCTGTAACAATCCTCAAATAAGTTTTGTTTCTTCTAAAAAGATGTATGACTAACAAATCCAGAATCGAACGCAATTAATTTCATTCCGGGAAATACACAATTTTTAAAAATGACGGCCGATTACCTTTCACAAAGCCAGGTCTAATAAAAATTCGCCGTGAGTAACGGAAATAAGGTCGGATGGTGTGACTTTTCTTCTACTAGAATTGTTTGTTTTTATTATTAAACATGCCAGGCCCCAAAAAAATATATGTTTGTTTCCCCTTCCCGACCCATTATATTAAGAGTAGGTCAGTGGGATTTTTTATATGTGCATAATAATAGATAATATGCATATAATGAACTATTTAAATTAATTTATTAAGTGCAATAGTATATGAACATGCATTACCATATTCACAACTGACATTGCAACAATTTATTAACTATGCTAGCTGTCTTAAATATCAGATTAGATTGTACCTATTGTACTCTGAAAGAAGGAAAATACTTTCATCCCCTAAGATACTGAAAAAAAAATGGATAGGGGCAAATTTGTTGGATAGGTAGGGAAAGGGAAACAAATCAAATTTTATTTTAGGTCCAAGCATTCATATTTTTTAAATAAAATGAATAATACTGCCATTCAACGTTGATTGTCGAACTTATTTTTCAGCCCAAGACTTCTTGTATTTTATGAGAAATTCGACTAAAATGAGGCTACCAGAAGGGAAAACAGATTTTAATATTAAAGTTAATATTAAGGAAATTTCATTTTAATTTGTTTTTAAGCATACAATAAAAAGAAAATTTGTTTGGTTTTTCATTTTTTTAGTCAGATGTAATTTTATTTCATCTCGTGAACTTTAAAAACAGTATTCTCACCCGTGGCTACGCCACTCGAGAGAATATTGTTTTTAAAGCTCACTCGATGAAATAAAATTTCATCATACACACAAACAAACAAATAGCCTCTATAAAATCATCTGATATATTACAGTAAAATACTGGAAAGCATGAAATAATATTATATATTATTTATTGACATCGTTTATTGTTTCTCTCGTTGACGGTGATATTTTTAGTAAGTTTCAAATTGTTGTATACTTCACTTGTGATGATAGAATAAAAAGAAAATATAAACTCCATGCCATTTGTTTCTATATAACATTTATATAAGTGTTTATGTTGATAACGATATACATACTCTTTAGAATTATATGTCGACTTTGCAAACAGCTAGTTTTCGCCATAAGCCACAATAATTAAAGATACATTATGCGTCAGAAACGAATAAATTTTACTTCTTTCGATAGGGCAAACATAATTTCCTATCGTTAAAATAATGGTTTGTTAAGCATGTTGAATGATTGTTACCGGGAGAAAGTAGCACTCACTGTGAAATTATTTGTCATAAAAGTAGTAAATTGCAAGCATGTAGTATTTTGCCTTCCATTCAACTGTACTAATTGCCAAAAAAAAACAGCAGAAGAAAAAGAAGTTAGTTCAGGTAATTGGCCTAAGAGTAACTTTTTGGAAACTGTTAAAGTACACCAAAACTAAAAATCATTTCAGAAATAAAATAAAAAATCATTTCAGAAATAAAAAAAAATGGGGCATAGTGGAATACAGTGAAACATGTTATATGGATAGCTGGCAGTATGGAAATTATGCACATCATTTTAGGCTCGACTATAGGGATTATATTGAGAGCTGTCCTACTCACACATCGTCCAGATTTCTAATTAAAGTTTTTATACAGTAAATCTTTATCACTGTAACTTCTTTTTTCTTAAGGTGTTTACTTAAAAAACTTGCAATGTATGTTTCTGATCATCAACCACATGGTTCCTAACTCATGCAAGTACCAAAATTATCCGAATTATCCCACTTAAACTTGGAACTTTCATGAAGAAATGTAGGACTTTATATATACATATCACTTCTTTATTTCTTAATGTATCTACTTCAAACTTCAAATATATGTTTCTTATCATCAACCTACATTATATGTAGCAAGGTTCATAATTCCAGCACTTATATTATTAGAATTATCATCCTTGAACTTAGAATTTTCATTAAATAATGTTATTTGTTTTCTATAACTTAGACAATTAAGGTATCTACTTCAAACTTCTAGTGTATGTTTCTTAGTCAGTCAAATCATATGTAAGAAGATTCATCACTCAAGCTAGGCTATTTCCAGATTTATGTCCCCCTTATACTGAGTTTTTTTTTCTCTCTAGAAATTATTATTTTGCTAAAACTTCTTCATTTCTTAACGAATTTACTTCGATCTTCAAACTCCCACATCATAATATCATGACAAGGTTTATACATTTAGCGTCCATATTTTCTAGAATTATCTCCCCCTTAAAAATCAAAATTTCCTTATTAATTCTAGAATTTTCTTATCTCATCAAGGATTTACTTCAAATTTCAAATATATGTTCATTATCAACACCTCAATCATATGTGAATAGATTTAGTCTAGCGCCTGGGTTTCCATGATTATTTTCATTTTGAATTTAGAATACATTTGATTTTTTTCTTCTTTGTTACTATACAAGGTAAATGATATATATTTGAAAATTGTTATTTTTACACTTTATATTGTAACTATAAATGGTATCTACTTTTGACTTAAGATAATTGCTCTTTGCCATCACTCACATATAAATTCGTGATTGATTGATACGCTGCACTCGCTTACGTACTAGTAAGCACATACTTGTAAGGACATATACATGTATGATAATCTAGAACATGAACGGTTTAAAGATGGCATAACCAGTGTGTGCGCTATGCTCATTGTTATAGGGGTTATCTCCCATTTACCGACATTGCCATAATTACCATGCTGACTTGTCCCTCATTAAACAGCATTCATCATTTTAGGGAAAATTTCAAAAGGTAGACTGACGGAATAGCGAAAAGTGCGGACCATATCTAGACGACACTGTACACTTCTTAGTATAATGTAATCATGTAATCATTACTGTAAAGTAAAGGTGTAGCCGCCGATAGGTTTAATAAATATGGTTGAATAAAAGAACTATAATTTCTTAAAAGAACTCCGAAGTCATTTTTAATACAGTCCAACTTCACATGCCAAGTTATTAATTGTTTGACATACAATGTCAGTCAGAATTATGTCAAAGTTACCTTATGAATAATGTTATTTTTAATGTTTCAATATATTTTTTGTTACTCAAATTCGTCTTTAAAATGGTAACTTTCAGATGAAAGTCTACTTGAATTATTTATGTTTGAGTAATATAATTGAGTAAATTATACATTATGACTTACATGCTTCGATATTATTTATAAAAATTAAAAAAAATAGATGATAACGTACAAACAGGGAATGGTCACTCTAAACCTGACACTGTATGTTTGTGAAATATAGAGAACTAGAATTGCTAAAAACGTACGGCAATATTTATAATATTGCAGGCTCGGTTTGATTGGGCCTGTTCATGAACGTTACTGTATTTTGTCTAAGCTATCGTCCGCGCTCCCTAGCAGGCTAGCACCGGCTTAAAAATAATTCATCATTTAACATGAAATGGTACAATTTTGAATCACATTCATAGAAAGTTTATGTGAAATCGACAATTGTCGTCAATTTCCGTACTATCTATAACTCAGAGGACCGTTCTGAACTGGTTTTTATCACACACCCGTGCCGATTTTGCGACGGATTTAGCTCAATACAGGATTGGAGCAGTACCTCTAGACGCTTGCAGAAATCATGATCACAAAATAGACAAATATCGTTTTTTACGCCGATTTTTATATTTTTCATTCCTACCCGGTATATACCGGAATACGGTATTTAGTGTGGTGCTCCAATCCTTTTTTTAGTCTCACTCTTTTGCGACTCCGTAAATATGGTGTTGCACGGCTGTGCATATATTTTGACGTGACGACATTAGCGTTATAAAGACGCGCTAAATGTTAGATTTATACTATAGGCGCGTCAATGAAAAAAAGACTCTTATTTCAATTTAAACGGTCTTTATTTTGGGTATGTGATAAATAGAACATTAAATTCGTGTAAGTTCATTACTGAATTTATTGCACTCGATGGATAAAATAATATTATGCAGAGGCTCGCATAATATAATTTTATTCAACTCGTGCAATTAATTCAGTATTGAACTTACACTCATTCAATATCCTCTATCTCCGTGTATTAGAAAGTTTATAGATAGCTTACCCCAATAGTAGAATTATTGCAACTTTCAAGTCCTTTTTTTCTTGAACAAACCAGCACTTGTGCCATATAAGGAAACACGGCTGTGGACCGAGTAGGGCCCACGATTCCTTATTTAAAATTCAGGTACTTCAACCTCTGCAGCCGCCGCCCTCCCACTCCCCCTTCCACACCCCCCCCCCCCCCCCACACACACACACACACACACCTCATAGAAAATGGATTTATTATAATTGTATTAATGGTTATTTTCTTTTACTGATTAGTATTGTAAGTATTGTTAATGAGCTATATTCAGAAACGAAGAAATTCTTTCCTTCTTTGATAAGTTTAAACATGAGTTTTATAACCTTTAGATAACGGTTTTAGAGCATCATGGACGTTATTGGTCGAGAATTAATTTTTAAAAAAATAAAGCCATGTAAAATATTTATTGAGAGTAAATTCACATATCTCACCTATCCGACCGAGAAATTTAACTAGAATGTGTCTATTCGATACTCCTTTTGACTGTTTAATAAGTTTTAGAATGATCCTTTAGATTATTATATTTATTTTATAATGACAGATGAGATTCCCAGATTTCAGTTTGCAATTCTTAAATGACCACTGAAAATCCTTCTAATATTCAGTTCTTCCCTGTAAAATTTTAGACGGACTCCGAAAAAGATTTGATTTCTTTTAGTAATTGCATTTTATAGTCTAAGTTTCATGCTTACGCACGTTCACCGACTTTACAGCTATTACCCCTGGTCATCGGGCTACTGGTATCTATCTATCAATCTCCCTGGGGAGTCTTTTAACTCCGCTTAGTGCAGCCGACACTTTGGCGCAACGGATTTATACCACCCTCGCAGGTACCCATTTACACCTGGGTGAAGTGAAGCAATCGCAGGTAAATTTCTTGCTCAAGGAAATTAGCAGTGCCCCTAGTGGGGTTCGAACCCGGGACCTCTCGATCCCTAAGCGCGCGTCCTACCACTGAACTACTGCTTTTAATCACTATGACGGAACTAATTGCAAAAAAAAATCAACAGGAGCAGAAAACATGGTAAACGTAATTGGTTAATGAGAACCTTTTGGAAACTATAACCAAAAGTCCCACCAAAGGTAAAAAGCTTTAGAAAAACAAATGCATTTCTGGAGCATGATGGGCCTTAAAGGTCCACCTTTAACTAACTTGATCTCGCCAGGAACGTTGGATGGTTACTTATGAGGAAGTTATCCAACCGGCACACAGGAAGTTACTTTTGATGTCGAAAATAACTCAAGGCGTGTACCTAAAGTTTACATTACCATTAAAACCGTAAAGTTGTTTTGCGACATTTATCATTTTCAGTATAACTAAAATGTTGACAAGTTACAAGTATCATACGAGTCTAAACATTATTTATTAACCATTTCAAAGGTAAACTGTTATAAATACATACATAATTTATATTGACAATTTTTTAATAGAATGTAACAGTAAAAAACCAACAAAAAACTAACAACAAAAAAAGAAAAGAATAAAAACGGAATAAAACATTCTTATAGTATCTATCCGCTTTACATATATATGTATAACTTTTATTCCAACACGTGACTTTTGTTATAACCTTTATTCCATCAAGTCCCTGTTGTTATAACCTTTCTTCCATCAAGTTACTTTTGTTATTAACCTTTATGCCATCAAGTCACTGTTTCGTCGATCCTTTGGAATTATTGTCCGAATTTCTGTAAAAATGTATTTATAATTATTATAATAATCATTATTATTATATATTTATTTACAGTGCAAATTAGGAAATTTGTGAGTGTTTTTATTGTTTACGTGCAAAGGTCTTTGGCATACAGCATAACGACTACAAATTCATCCCTTTATTTACATTGGATGACATATCAAAAGTAAAGTGTAAAATAGTCGACATTACTAGTAACTGATGGAGAATAAGTCTTAAAGATATATTATGCTAATCTTTGAGTAAAATATTTCTATTGCAAAAATTAATTGAAATCTATAAAATTCTTGTTCAATAGGTCTTATTTATATAAAAGAACGTACACACCTTGTGTAGGAATCTGCGTTCCATTATTACTTATCTACTTTGTGTGAAGTCAAAACATGTTTATTTTGTATTTATAAAAAAAACTGTGTAGCATTTATGAATATTTTTAAATATCAAATTTAAGCATAGTACATTTGTATATCTTGAAGCAGAATCATCTTGATTACGCTCTGACATTATTTTTGAATGTGACAAGTGGAACGTCAATCATTTTATATGAGAATTTAAGCTTGCTTAAACTTTACTGTAAAAGTCAAATCTTTGGTACGAAAATGTAAGAAAGCTCCAGTAAAACATATAACCAACTAGTGAGTCCGTATTTAATCCTATATATCAAGAATACAAGGAAGTTTGTCAACTTACGGAAGGACCAAGCCCTTTTACGTCCGGTGTACCTTCCGGTAGAGCATAGCTGTTCCAAAATCCATTTAGACCAAAACCATGTACAGAAGGTAAGTGTAACTTATTTACAAGCCATGGAAACTTTGTCTTGAAATCTTTAGGAGCTACTCCATGCCTCCGCCTATCCTGGGCAACCGCCCTATTCCACGATGTGTGCTTTTTATAACTACCATACTGACCAAAAGTTCTTCCGTAGGAAGTTTCGAATTGTTGTTTCCTATCAAAATGTGGAACCAAACTTTCAATTCCTTCTGGCCGGTTAAACGTCTCTAATTTCTGTGGAATTAATTCATGATTTTGCTGTAGTGCACCTGCTTTATGCGACATTTGAGCTGCAGCAAAATTATTTCCATCATTATTATCAACAGCAAGAGTTCTTTGATTTACTCCTGTGTTAGATATTATATTAGTCTGAACGCCATGGGCTGAGACAATGCAGAATAACAACAACGGAAGCAAAATTGTTGCTGGACGTATTGTAAAATCCCCCATCGTTATCACAATCTAAATAAAAGAAAATATAAGACATTACCTTCGTGTCTAAACATAAGATAAAATAACAATAACTTTCTATAAAGGAATTTTATCTCTGGAGGCTATAATTTGATCTAGAAGTCAGTTTACTTGTCCAAGAAAACTAAAATTGTACATTTGTACATGTATGAACATGTTAATATGTGTTATATATTATAACCAAGGGACATTTCTCCGTTCATATGCCAGTAGTTGTATCTAACAATAAGTTAGTTTTAAATTAGTTAATAATGTTAGTAGTGTTACTGTTGTTATGAGTTTTTCTACTATAAATAAATACATATACTTTACAATAACAAAGGTTTCCTATAATACCATTAACATGGACAACGGTCACATGCTACTTTTAAAAAATCACATCTCTATCAATGTAGTAAAAGTAAATCAAATATATCGACAATACAAATTCAAACATACACTGAAAATTAATACTTACCTTGATTTTTCAGTTATTCAGATTTATGTCTATTGCATAAAAACTTTTTTGTTTTCATAAATATCCCATATTGTATCAGACAAAGAAAGGTTTTTACTTTGAAACAAGGAAAATGGATTAGAAAGTATTGCGTGCGTCAAAATAGTTGAGGCGGAAGTGAATATAAGTGAAAATTTGCCAAAGGCTGTTACTTTGTATGTAACACTAATAACATGCCAAACCTTGCATTAAAGGTAGTATACCTACAGTTTAACTTTGCCTAGTTACTTAAAATAACAACAGTTTTCATTATAGGCTTTCAAGTGAAATATTCTAGTTAAGTTTAAACATATTTTATTGTATATAAATATATACATACATAAATTTTCACAACTTTATATAAATACATTAATGTAAATATACAAAAGAGTTGGGCCAACAGTTATAACAACATTATCGAGGGCCCTCCCCTGAAATATTCTAAATGTATCTTCTGACTATTAACTTTAAGGGTTTAAAGCTAGATGTTATGAAATATTTTCATACAGTTTAAAGTAAAATTATATTGGTCCCATATATAATGTTATGGTCGAATCTTAAGAGTTGTACCATAGAATGTTCGTTATTTAAAGCCAATGAATTCAATTCAATGAATTCAATTAAATTCAAATTGTAAATGAAGGCTTCCGGCCTAAAATACAACGTATACATTAATATAAAGCATCAACGAATGTTATACGTAAACAGAATAAAATATTTGGAAAGAAATATCATTCGTTATGCAATGATTTCGTGCGTGATGAATTCGTGCATGCGTTTTTCGCTTTATGGTAATTTACTGCCCTATACAGTACACTCATTTTTTCAATTCAAACAATAATTTTTTGCACCATATATAGGCCTATAGCTTAATACATTGTACACTTTATGTGGAAAGTTAATTAATACAAAAACTAACTACAAGAAAGAAAAGACTTGTGTTGCAGAAGAGAGTTTTAAAAACCGTTGCCCAGTAATAGATACAAGTCATTATATTCTACATATATACATGTATCATAATAACGCTGAGATTGTTATTATATATAGTTGCAATTTTTAGGAAATCAAATGTTTGAATCTATAACCATTACTTTTTAACCCAATGTAAAAATTTGACATTTAATCCACTTGAATAAACTACGATGGCATTGACCACCTTTAATCTAATGTTGAATTAACCGGCATAATTAAATACAACGCAATAATAACCGCTGAAAAACTAAAATTGAATAAAGTTTCCTTTTAAAAGGAAAGGCTTGCTCAGTTGTGCCATCATCCATTCCCTTTAAAATTGTTTTTTTATGCAATTTATTATCATATTTTTTTTTGTATATCATAAAGGGTTTATTTAGTTTTTTTCTCGAAAAAAAAAGTTTCACTTTTAAAGGGATAGGTAGGGTAAGCCCAAGACTGGACGAACACCTGTGCCCATTTGTTTGAGCACCAGTGTTATGCGTGCAAATTTGGACCAAATAGGGACCAGAAGTCCACTGATTATAACTGAACGGGAACATGCTGACGATAACAGTAGCAACTTTTTTTTTTTGTAAAAACGAATATTTTTTTGTCAAAAACGATTCAAAATCTATTCTCTATTGTATAAAACTAATGAAGAAAATAATCAATCGTAAAAATACTAACATTGCCTCTCACGTGATCATGATCAATCTATCATACTGAAGGGAAACAAGTGTGCACATTTCATTAGAGAGAGTCATTCGTTTTGGCAGTTGCTAATTTCATTTATATAGCAGCTTTAGAGACAAGTAAATGCACTAAAAGACTTCGTTACGTGGTACCAATTAATAAGCATGTATCAACTAAAATATCTATAATCACATATATACCGACAACACAGGAGATCAGCACGTGGTAAGGTTAATGATATGCATGGGCTATTTTTAGATTACCTAAACTCTGTCAGTAGATCTAAATATAACTTGATCATGCACTAATATTCTGCGCGATTCGGGTAAACAGGACCGCCCTTTGGAGACGGAATACTACTACAGTAGCCATAAACTAATAAAGACAAAAACCAATTTTAAAAGAAACTAACTTTTGCGTCTTGAAAAAAAATTGAAACGGAATCAAGTAAAAATAGAAATCCTATTTATATAAACAAACTGGGATTACCGAAGTAACTAAATAGCTTAGATTTCCGTAATATTACTTCGTCTGATTCCGCAGTATGACGGAATCGCCCGAATTGTCCCGATTGCAATCGGAACTACCTCGGCTATTGTCATTAATCCGAAGAGTGACGGAAAGGGCCGAAAAGTTGCGATTGGCACGATTGCAGCTGGTTTCCCGTTTAATCATGCACTAACAAATGTAAGCAGGAAACCACCTAACCGGAACAACTTTTCCAAAACAAATGGCAGCCAAAAAAAAATGACTCACTGTGAAAAGAAATAGCTAATAAAGATGTTTTAGTTACTTCACGATTTTTTGAATAATTGTTTTAATTTCTTTCTTTTTCCTTTTAGTATATGCTCTACATTTTTCCTTTCATCTCTCGCAAAGAGATTCTAAAATTTAAACGTAAAAACAAGCCATCTTGGCTTAAATGCTCAGAAGAAGGAGAAGGTAAAGGTAAACCTCTGCGTACGATAAATTACTGTAACATAAGAAAGCATACTATAAGGTGTATCAGTAGGCTAAAATACAAACCTGGTAGAGATTTTTGGTGTTTTCACTATACTATGTATTTGACCTTTTTGTGAAAAAAAATGGTTTGCACAAACTATGTTTAATGTATGTTAATATATTCTCAAATTTGATAGTCAGTAAGAACATAATTGATAGTATCATCATCCGTCTTCTCAGGTAAAAAACTTTTAAAGCTGCATGCCTCCAGATGACTGAGAATATTTTAAGAAAATCGATCTTGAGAAAAATATACTGATCTTGTAAAAAAAAAAGATAAAAAGATTCAAGATAAATTTAATAATTTCCATGTTATGAGCAATAAATGACCGATTTTGCAGTATTTTTTTCACAATATTTCTATTGCGTTACTAACACAGTAAGGGCTGTGCTTGCATACTTTGGCCTATTTTTGATAATTTAAAGTGGTTGCAAGTATATATTATGTTCTTTATATAATGCTAACTAATCGTGTACAGAAATTTGCATTGTGACATAGACTGTACCATGTGCTGCACTAAGGTCGGTGAAATTGTGAGCAAGATTTTTTCAAATGTTAAACTTCATTGACTGTTCTCCTATTGACTTCAGGTAAATTTGTGTACATTCGTCACCATTTTTGCAAAACAAAACACAATTTTTTAAGCATTTCTCGTACTTCACTTATTTTGTAGAACAGAATTCTCCTGTCTATTGTAAGAATAACTGCTTGGAATAATATTATGTCTCTGTAAAGTTTCATTGCAGTCTACTATATCAATCATTTACATAGTAATAGAGTAAGCAAGGTACTTTATATTTTCAAATTCTATTCAGCCAATATTAGACTAAAACAACAAATTATTTTGCATATTTTATCTTTTTATTTCATATATTTTTCAAAATAAATATCTATTCAAAACATACACATGTAGAAAATTGAAATGCCAAACCCTTAGACAAGAATAATTACATACTATAATACCACTTATAGTACCACTTTTACACATATTTTCTGTATGTGAACATAAAAATCAGCTACAAACTAAAATCCAAATATTTCTTATACCTATTAATCTGTCAAGTTGTACGGTATAGAACCTTGACCCGTTTTAAATATTCAATTTCTAAATTAAAGGATTTTAAAAACAAATTACTGCAACTGAACAACAAAACAGATTTGAATGTTTTAGCAGTGTTAAAATTATTACATTGTAACATAAACAGCCATGTATTTCAGTGAATTTCCAGTACATTTCATTTCCATGTTATTACAAAAATGATTCTCTCCAATAAGTCATGCTAATAAATGACATGGATTGTTTCTGCATAAAATGAATACCTAGTTGGTCTACCATCATAATACTACAATTTGGGCTACACTGGTAGCATTTGCCTATTATTATTATTGCTGCTAAAAGTTTATACATCTTGCCATATATATTTATATACCAAACATAAAAAACCTTGAAAAATCGGTACACTGCAGCCAGGACATGAACCAAGGGTCTCTGGATTGTGAACCAATACACCACAGCGACCATTGCTTTTTCTTCATGCTTATTGACCTTATATAGCTTATTGACCTTATATAATTTTGTATGTTTTTCCTCTGTATAATCTCCTGCTCATGACTTTCTTCCTTATATATATAATTTTTCTTGTTCCGGCACTTTTTATCAAGAAAAATTATACTAAAATATAACTGACATTAACTAGATTCTATAATCATCTGGGCAAATAAACATAAAACCATAGTTACAACGGCATTAAATTGAGACATTCCACTTAATGTCATATATATTGTTTTCGGATTGCTGGTGCAGTACGACAGTATATGAAAGCTGAGCTTCAAACCCAAGACAAGGCAAAACCCAAGACAAGGCAAAACTAGAAATGTGTCCATAGGACACGGATGCCCCCACACGCCACTGTTCTGTCAATCTTATGACTCTAGGTCAAATATTTTTTGGACTACATGTGCCACAAGTTGAAAACTAAAAATCAACAAAGGGCCATAATTCTGTTAAATTAGGTTGCAGCAAAAATTCCTTCCTTTACTGCCATCTACACATTAAGGTTGTTCATCCCTGGAAGTTTAAGCAAAATCTGCCATCCGGTTTAAGAGAAGTTGCATTCACAAAATTTCTACATAGTATATAGTGAAAAAATCAACAAAGGGCCATAATTCTGTAAAATTTGGTCACAGCGAAAATTCCTTCCTTTAATACCATCTACACCTTAAGGTTGTTCATCCCTGTAAGTTTAAGCAAAATCTGCCATCCGGTTTAAGAGGAGTTGCGTTCACAAAATTTCTACATAGTATATAGTGAAAAAATCAACAAAGGGCCATAATTTTGTTAAATTTGGTTGCAGCCAAAATTCCTTCCTTTACTGCCATCTACACATTAAGGTTGTTCATCCCTGTAAGTTTAAGCAAAATCTGCCATCTGGTTTAAGAGGAGTTGCGTTCACAAGATTTCGGGACGTACAGACGGACTGACGGACGGACGGACAAGTGCAACGCTATATGCTCCCATATTGTGGGGGCATAAAAAGCGCAAAATGCTAGTAAAAGAATAATATGTGGGTCCTATCAACATACTAATTTTAAAACAAGTTTGCATTTGTAAAAAATGCTATGCCACCGCATAAATACAACACTAAAATAGTAATGTAGGAACACATTTTTTTTGTTTTGACCGAAGGGCTATAATTTGAATAATCTTGCTAAAGGTTCACTACACAATGTTTACTGCAAATGTCTCACCTCTAGCCTTTGTCAATTCGAGAAGGTGATTTTTTAAAGTTTTTACTATATACATGTAAGGAAAACCTATGACCCCGGGGCAGGGCTAGTTTTGACACTAGAGGCAAAATTTGAACAACTTTGGTAGAGTACCTATAGATGATATCATATACCAAATATCAAAGCTCTAAGCCTTGTACCTTCAGACAATAAGATTTTTTAATTTTTTACTATATGTACATAGTGAAAATCAATGACCCCCAGGGGTGGGGCCAATTTTGACCCCAGGGCTATAATTTGCTCAATCTTGCTAGAGGTTCACTACACAATGTTTCATGCAAAATATCTAACCTCTAGCCTTTGTCAATTTAGAGAAGATGATTTTTTAAGTTTTTACTATATACATATGACCCCCGGGGCAGGGCTAATTTTGACACTAGAGGCAAAATTTGAACAACTTTGGTAGAGTACCTATAGATGATAACACATACCAAATATCAAACCTCTAAGCCTGGTACCTTCAGACAAGAAGGTATTTTAAGTTTTTACTATATGTACATATAGTGAAAATCAATGACCCCCGGGGCGGGGCCAATTTGGACCCCAGGGATATAATTTGAACAATCTTGGTAGAGGTCTACCAGACAATGCCTTATGCAAAATATCTAAGCCTGAGGCCTAGAAGATTTTTTTAATTTATTCTTATAATTCCTTTTGGTTGCCATGGCAACCAGAATTCTGCATAGAATGAAATTCTTTGCACAACTTTGTAAGGCCTTCACCCAAGGAACAATCCTGCCAAGTTTGGTTGAAATTGGACTAGTGGTTTTTCACAAGAAGATTTTTTAAGTTCACTATATAATCTATATAACACACACACACACAAACAAACACACAGGTGAATCGCTATATGCCACCGCATCGCAGATGCTGCGGTGGCATAAAAATACAATATGCCTCTCTAAATATACTACAATCTCACCCTAGTAACACAACAAAAACGAAAACTGTAATGCACTTTACCCCAGTATCCTGACTAAAAGCAAGATCGTACAACAATGTATACATCAAATTACATATATCATAGATATAAAGGTCATTCACCAATCAAAAGCTTGTAAAATCCAATATATTGCATAAGTCAATTCTTACCTTGACACATACCACTCCCACTGAGTAAAGAGTGACTTTGACTTTATGATTATGAACCACAAGTGAAGGCCCCACCCTCACAAGTGGTATGCACCACCATTTAATGGTGGTATGATAATCAAAAATGTCAAATGATAAAACCCTCAATTAATACCCCTGTAATGTGAGTTGGAAATATCCCTAGCTCTCTAGGCACTAAAGGCACAACCACTGCATAGACCTGGCAGTGAGGGGAAAGACAGTAGGTAAAAACTTGGCTCATTTTCAGTACTTCCCCATTGCATTGTCTCAGGAATGGCATGACATGATACAAATTGCCTAGGAGTAACACAAATCATGTCACCTTTTAGAATAAAATTTAATATTTGATACAGAAAGGAACTCAGATGTCTGAATTATACAAGCTAATGCCTGGTGAAATAACTTTAATACAACAAACTTGAAACACCATTCTTCTGACTTGTCAACATGATAAATACTTAATAAATTCATGAAATACTGGCTTTTGAAAATGAACTCTTTAATACTCAACAAAATGTACATAACATGATGTAATGAATTTTGATTTGACTTTCTAAATGGTGTATGGACTTCCGGTTTCAAAGCTTGCAGATCTAATAAACCAGTTCATTCACTCAAGACAACAAAAAATATTACTTTTAGTACAAAGTTTATGTTAACATTATTTTTTTATAAAATAGCTTCATTTAATCAAATTATACTTAAGTGCACATGCTTCAAGCAAACCTGCCATGAATCAATGCAAAAACATCAATGTTTTATCATAAAGTAACCAGATAGGAGGTAACCTGTACCTTATTAAAGGTAATTATAACACGACCCGCATTTTTCCCTATTGAATATAGAAGAACCGAAAGTTTATGTTATAATGCAATAAAATTACTGTTGACATTCTTTATTTAGACATGTGACGTAATCAATATATATGTAACATAACCACTAAAAATGTGACGCACTGAAAAAAAGAACGGAAACAAATCAGGCGTAATCTAGCTTAATATCAGGTACAGCAGCATTTATTTGCTGGTGTCATGTTAGAATCTAAATAATATATCCAAAATCGATGATTTTATCGCTTGATAAAATTTATGTAAGAAATTTATATAAAAGTAACCTACATGAATAATCCTACCACTGTCATTAAGACACAGTTAACCTTATTGACTACACCATACCTTATATGTTTGTTTGTTTTGTTATTTCTTTGTTGGTTTTGAAGTCAAATTGACCCTGTAAGAGTTTATCGAATATCCAGATTTACCTGTGGAAGACCTCATGTGCCCCTTGGTACATAAGCAGGCACTCGTATGGAACCACTAACCTTCCGTAAGCTAGCTGGATAGCTTGTTCACATGAAAGAAACAAATCCCTCCTGACAAGATTAAACCCACAGCAGTGAGGAGCAAGTGATTTGAAGTTGGTTGGCAACCTTAACCACTGGGCCATGGAGGCCACTACAACCATTATAAGAGCTGTACATTATATCATACAAAAGTATTACAAAGACATAATGCATTTGTTCCAAAAATGATAATTTAATCTAGATTGAAAATTAGAAAAATCAAAATTTAAGTTATTTACAGTAATTCAACTGAATGCATGAACCAAATCCATGTGAAGATAAATTAAATGAAATTTCAGATATAAGGACCTGCTTGTCTGAAATGTTTCATGAAATGTTAATTCATTTGTAATACAATTCTCTATGACAAAGAAAACTGCCTTTCTTAATCTCTGTAATGGCATGTTAAGGGGAACAATGTGCCATTTCTGTAGAGTTGCTCACTTGCTACAATAGAATATGTGATACCAACTTAGTAGCTTTAAGTTCAAGTTTCAACCACTTACACAACAAGAACTGAAAATTCTAACCTATGCCACTGACATATTTCAATGATAAATAAAAGCACCACTGTACTGTTTTTGCTTTTACCATACAATTCATTCCAGCACACATACTTATCAGTATTTTCTCCATCCCTTTCACTCCTCACCATCAAGCGTTGCTGGTAAATTTCAACTTCTATATTTCCTCATTTAGAGTTATACAAACATAACACAATATTGAAACACAATACTGAATATCTCTCCCCTCACATTCAACCTTGTTCTAAATCCTTGTATTTTTTCACACGTTTCCATTCACCAGTCAAATAATTCATTTGGAAGTAAGTGTCCACTAATTTTTGTTTCTGTGTGTGATCAGGCATAGTAACAAGCTCTTCAGCTTCACTCAGTCGTATACTTAATATATTACCTTGCTGAGGACACGGGTTTTCTGAAATATGAAAATGATAATCATTTATATGACAAGCCATAAATTGATTAACGTGTTTTTCGCAAAACATGAATTAAATTTTACTGGTAAGAACAGTAGTAAGAAATATTTAACTTTCTTAAACATATAAAGTGATATATAAAAGAAAGCTTACTTTAAAGTTGAATTATAAAATCATGAAATCTAAATTAATGTTCTATCTGTTTTATCTCATAAAGACTCATAATGATATAGATCAGGCTTGTGTTTCTTGGGAAGTCGTAAGGCTAAAATATGTCGTAAGACCGAAACTGAGAAAATGTTCGTTTCAAAGAAAATGTCCTAACTTATCACTCTTATGTTAACACGCCCGTTTAACTCACAACGAGTGAAAAATGTCCATCGGTTAAAATGTTGTAAGCAACTTCCGTTCCTCGTTGTGAGCACCCATCTATGACGTGTGACACGATAAACAAGGTGAGTTTTTCATAATTTTTGAAGATTACAGACATTTATGTAAAAATATCGGAATGCAGTTAGCTAGCGATGTGTTTTCAGAGTATGTACATGTACAAATATTGCCTGTTGGTGGACAATTTTATGGAAATACCGTGCGACGCAGTCACTCGGGGTAGCTGGAAAACTGGAGACAACTTCTCTTTGGACCTAATTTAACATTGAAAACGTCGATTCTGGTGAGGTTTTGTGCATTCTAACTTAAAACAGATGCCCACAAGTCTTCAGCGTAAATTATTATCTGAAAGTCTTCATAGAAACAAAGAAATACCCTTTTTTGCTTTAATCCTCGTTGTGAGCACCATAACCTCGTTGTGAGCAAGACAAGCGCAGTGCGTGTATGGTTTTAATATGTAATTCAGATGGTGAAAATATAATTTTCAATCTACCAAAGCAATTAAAACGTTTTTGCACAGCAGCATTTCTTTGCAAGACGTTGTGCATACCCCACAGGGAGGCATATTAGTTTTTAACTGTCCGTCTGTCAGTCCGTCAATCCGTCCGAAAACTTTAACATTGGCCATAACTTCCTTATTAGTAAACGGATTTGATATATATTTGAACACAACATCACTTAGCACAAGACCTTCCTACGGACCTGTATTTTTTTACCTTGACCCCTGAATGGCCTTTACCTTGAAGGTCAAATTGTCAAAAACTTAACAAGAGGGCCATGAAGGCCCTGAGGTCGCTCACCTGTATATAGGCCTCCCCCCCCCCCCCCCCCCCTGGCAGGGCCAATTTTAGTCCAAGGGCTTTTTTTTTAACAAACTTGGTAGACACTCATAAGAAGATGTTTCATGCTAAACATCTAAGCTCTGAGCTTATTGGGTTTTTTAAAGTTTTTACTATACACATAATGACACCACTAGGGTGATGCCAGTTTTGACCCCAGGGCTTTTATTTGAACAAACTTTGTAGACACTAACTTGAAGATGTTTCATGCTTAATTTCTAAACTCTAGCTATTTCGGTTTTTAAGAGAAGAGTTTTAAGTTTTTGCTATATACATATAAGGAAAATCAATGACCCCCTGGGGCGGGGCCAATTTTGACCCCAGGGCTTTTATTTGAACAAACTTGGTAGACACCCATTAGAACATGTTTCATAATTAATATCTTAGCTCTAGCTCTTTGAGTTCTTTAAAAGAAGATTTTTTAAGTTTTTACTATTTGCATATAGGGAAAATCAATGACCCCCGTGGGCGGGGCCAATTTTGACCCCAGGGCTTTTATTTGAACAAACTTGGTAGACACTCACTAGAAGATGTTTCATGCCAAATATCTAAGCTCTAGCTATTAGGGTTTTTTTTAAAGCAAATATTTAAAGTTTTTTCTTTCGGTTGCCATGGCAACCAGAGTTCTGCATGGAATTAAATTCTTTGAACAATTTTTAAAGGTGACCACCAAAGGAACATTCCTGTGAAGTTTGGATGAAATTGGCTTAGTGGTTTATGAGGAGATGTCATTTAAAGTAAGACAGACGGACGACGGACGAAAAGCGATCACAAAAGCTCACCCTGTCACTTTGTGACAGGTGAGCTAAAAATTGGTCATAACTTCCTTATTAGTACACAGATTCTACTCATATTTTGACACAACACCCCTTTAGGCAAGACCTTCAAACTGATCTGTATTTTTTTTTACCTTGTACCCTGAATGACCTAGAACATCCAAAAACTTTAACATTGGTCATAACTTCTTTATTAGTAAATGGAATTAATTCATATTTGGACACAATGCCTCTTTGGACAAGACCTTCCAACTGACCTATATTTATTTCACCTTGACCTTGAATGACCTTCACATTGAAGATCTAATTGTTCAAAAACAAAAAATCTATCTGGTCCATAAATCAAAGGACAAAGCACCACTTCGGGGGCATTGTCAACTTACCGTGACACTTCTTGTTTTACATACATGTACCTTGGTCAGTCTTCAGCTCAGGATAAACACATGTATGTGTGTATCACACAGATTGTGAAATTGTTGAAATATTCATAAACTCCCCGTAATGTTCACTCGAGCCACACTAGAGTATACGAAATAAAATACCTGATTTACCCCCACTGATTAGTTCTTCTGTTAATCTGATGACTTGTGAATGTGAAGAATAATTTTCAAAAAAAGAAAAAGAAGAACTATTGCAAAGAAAAACTATTGTACAAAAACGTTTTGATTGCTTTTGTTAGATTGAAAATTGTATTCTCGCCATTTAAATTACATATTAAAACAAGACAAGCACTGCGCTTGTCTTGCTCACAACGAGGTTATGGTGCTCACAACGAGGATTAAAGCAAAAAAGGGTATTTCTTCGTTTCTATGAAGACTTTCAGATAATAATTTACGCTGAAGACTTGTGGGCATCTGTTTTAGGTTAGAATGCACAAAACCTCACCAGAATCGACGTTTTCAATGTTAAATTAGGTCCAAAGAGAAGTTGTCTCCAGTTTTCCAGCTACCCCGAGTGACTGCGTCGCACGGTATTTCCATCAAATTGTCCACCAACAGGCAATATCTTTACATGTGCATACTCGGAAAACACATCGCTAGCTAACTGCATTCCGATATTTTTACATAAATGTCTGTAATCTTCAAAAATTATGAAAAACTCACCTTGTTTATCGTGTCACACGTCATAGATGGGTGCTCACAACGAGGAACGGAAGTTGCTCACAACATTTTAACCGATGGACATTTTTCACTCATTGTGAGTTAAACGGGCGTGGTTAATACCCTCTTATTTCTGAATATTGATGCAGATGAACATTCACACATTGCAGATTAAAGCACATGTCATTGTATTTTGTACCTTTTCTCGGGAGAATAAGTCTAAAACTTTTACTAAAGATAAAAATACTTATTGAAATGATCTTAAGTTAGTCCTATAGTTTGATGCAAGTCCTACGACTTAGGATAATCCTAGGACTTTCTATGAAACCCAGCCAAGTTTTACAGAATGTGATTGCAGTATGTTTTATAGGTTGTATCTCACTGAAAACTTCATTATTTCATTGATATGTATAAGATAACTGCTTATCTGACCGTGCAAGTGATAAAAATATAACAAATATAATCTTTTCAACATTTCATATCAATACTTTTTCTTGACATTTCAAAAAAAATCTATGAATTTAGGAATTCATTTGATCTCATTACATGAAATCATTTCAGCCATAAAAAGAGACCAATTTACTATATTCAAAAAAGTCTTTAGAATTTTGTTGAAGATGATGTATGCATTAAACCACTCCTTTGTAAATTTCATTTGGCAACTTTCCAGGTTTACTGATGGAGAAAGACCGCAGGTGTTCCTTTATGCATTATTTCAGACCACAAGTGAGAGCCTGAGTGGAACCAAAGAACTTCCATACCCTAGCTAGACAAACTCCTTCACAGGAAGGTGTCCTGTTGTTTATAGAACTTACTATTATGAAAGAGTTACAACAGATATACAACAAATGGTCAGTCATCCCATAAGCTAACCATGAACAGTTATGAAATGAGCCACGTCATGACAAAACCAACATAATGGGTTTGCGACCAGCATGGATCCAGACCAGCCTGCGCATCCGCGCAGTCTGATCAGGATCCATGCTGTTTGCTATCAGTTTCTCTACTTGTTATAGAGTTTGTAAGCGAACAGCATGGATCCTGATCAGACTGTGCGGATGCGCAGGCTGGTCTGGATCCATGCTGGTCGCAAACACATTATGTTGGTTTTGTCGTGACGCAGCTCAAATAAAAGATATAGAATTATACCTCTGGATCCAGCCATGAAACCAAGAATTAATGCTTTTTCTGGTCTTGTAACTTTGTTGGAATTTTTAAACATATCTTGTGCTTCCATCATTTGTTCACGCTGCAAAAAAAATGATAAAAACGTCTCATTAATGTTAAAATTCATACCCGGAAAAAAAATACATTGTTTTGCTTTTAATACATGAAAAACTCAAAGTGGTCTTCATACTCCAAAACCTATAGTCTTACACACAGTCTTGGACACATATTTATTACAGTACTAAAAGTTGAGTTTTAAAAATACTTGTATATAGCACTTTATTGTATTTAAATGTTAATACAGACACAATTCTTTCTTGCTACCTTGTAATACATCTTTGTACTTTTTTGTTTGACTAATCATACAAAGTCTAGTAAACTCAACAATGCACTGTATTTTAAAATTGTACTGCTATAACAGTACAGAAAAATATTCAAACAAATTACAAATTTAAAAGTGTTTTAAAGTCCTTCAATTCATTTTGCAAAAGGGAAAAAAAGAGGCTAAAACATACTGTAAGAGAAAGTCCTTTCTTTGCTTGTGGTTGTTGTTGCTGCTGCTGCTGGGCAGCCAATGGTTGTGGAACATTATTTTGAGGCTGTGGCTGGATTGGTTGTAATGGCTGTCCAGTGGGCGTGGCAGAAGTTTGATTGATAGCTGCTTGTTGAAATGTTTGACCAATGGATGGCAAGACAGTAGTTGTTCTGATTTGTGATTGGCCAAGTTGTTGTTGAAGTTGTTGCTGTAAGTTGTCCCGAGCTTGTTGAGTGTTTGCTGAAACAGAGGAGGCTGAAAAGACAACATATATATATACAAGTCAACATACTTCTTTACTCAACCCTTACTTTCTAACTGGTTAAATAACTCATTGAACAAGAAATCTTCATGTCAGAACGTTATATGCCTGAAGCATGTGCCGATGTAACATGTACAATTATAAAATGTGAAAGGATTAAATTTAGAAAAACAAAATAAAACAACCAGAACAAGTTATTGATTGGACAAGGATTTTACAAAAGTGTCACTGAGACCTTGACATTTGATTTAATGACCTCAAAATTAATAGCGGTCATCAACTTGCCAAATTGTCCCAGGTAAATTTTAAAAACCCAGGCTTTTTCCTTCTCAAGTTGTTGAGCCGACAAGATGTTACAAAAAAAGTAACTGTGACCATGACTTTTGACCTTCTGACCTTAAAATCAAAAGGGGCCATCTACTGGCCATAGACTATGTCCCTTCGAAGTTTCACAAACCTAGACTTATACTTTCTAAAGTAATTGATAACACAAGGATTTTCCAGTGTCACAAAGACTTTGATTTTTGAACAACTGACCTTAAAATCTATTCCATGACCCTATAAAGTATGAGGTCAACACACCTAATAGTTCTCAACATAATGTGCGAACTTAGATGTGGCTATTAAATAAACGGAAAAACAGGTTGAAAGATCTGTAACAGAAATGGAATCAGGGGCCTTTTCTTTTATTTTCTTTTGTTTAACAGAGGGCTATTTGCCTCTTACTTAATGGCTACTGAATTAACTCTCTTGTTCTCTATTATTCTGTTTACAGTAAGATGGCCTCCTATTCACTTTCAGTAGTGTGGACAAACTAGCACCATACCAAACAAAGTTAAATTAAGTGTATAAAAACTTTATGCCATCTTTTGGAACAAGTACAGTAAAAACTCTGAAAACCGGACCCTATCCGGAATTAACCAAAAGTCCGGTTTTCAGAGGATTCCGGTTTTCAGAGGTTTTATACATTTATTGATAAATATGATGTGTTTGAACAATGACTTTGTTCAATGATTTTGTATTTACTTTTTAACCCTTTTGTCTAAGTCATATTTTAATTTCTTTTTGCAATAAATACCGTAAGTAATTTTATTATGCAAATCCATAAATGTAATTCTGAAAATCAGAAATTAAAACACCTTGTCTGAAATATATCTTCTTAATTGGCTTTTAAAATATGTAAATAATGGAATTTAGTATTACTATTTTTGCATATGATTAATATCAAAACAAAGATAACTTCAAGGTAAAAATTTTAAGGAAAACAGGAATCATTTAACAAAAGTTTTCCACTTCCACTAGACATTTTATATTTTAAAAAAAAAACAAGAACAAATTTAAAACATTTTGAAAAATCACGCCTATACAGGGTCAGACACAATTACGATGAAAGAGCTTTAATTTAATAGCCAATAAGAAATTAACACAAACTGACAAGTGTTTTCACACCTGCATAGATAAAAATATGTGATCCTTAATTGGTAATTGAACATATCACCTGTTGAGATTATGTTTAATCTACATTAAAATACACAGAAAGTTGACACTTAAAATTGCTGTCTGGTTTTCAGAGGATTTTTTATGCATGTTTAGCATTAGAAACCATAGGAAATCGTCCGGTTTTCGGAATTCAGAGGTTCCGGTATTCAGAGGATCTTTTTTCATTGAACATATAAGGAGAAAATATGGGACTTTTAAAATGGTCCGGTTTTCAGAGGATTCCGGTTTTCAGAGGGTCCGGTTTTCAGAGTTTTTACTGTACATTGCTGTGAAAACAAACTTATTATTTCAGTCCAAAAACCTAACCTATGTACTCTAATAGCCAGGTAATTAAAAATCAGACCCAAAAATAATCTTTTAAACCATTAGGAAATATTGCAATGTGCAATAATGTTTACTTAGGCTTTTTTATTCTGTTTTTTTGTTTTTGTTTTTTTTTTGTTTTGTTTTTTGCAGTGAAAACTTTAGCTCCACCTTTTCTATACATTGCAAGGTCAACTGCTGACACAAGGTATCACTATGTGTTCTTTTGTGAAAACAAGGTCAACTAGAGACTATGTATTATTCTAGTGTAGCCATTTTGCATTAAATGGTCAAAGATCCATTGTTATATGGTACTTGCATAAAGACAAGTTGCACAATATTAAGAGAATAATAAAATAGTTTACATTTGAATCAAAATCATCACACAACTGGCCTGGGAAGAAACAAAATTTCATTGAATGGAGATAAAATATAACACCTAGAGCATGTATTTAAGTTAAAAGTTTTTTCAATTTCTGATTTAGACACTAAGCTATGATTTTATTCACATTTTGGGGAAAGGTGATGGACCCCCATCAGGTGGGGAAACATGTTGTTATTGGCATTTTGAGAACACAAAATTAAAAGCAGCAAGGTTTGAAACAATCTTTACTGATCAATTATTCAATTTCAAAATAATGCAAATCAGGATAAATCTGCACATTCCCGTAATGTTTCCCTCAGTTTAAATCACTGCAACAATTTTAAGGGCTGTTCCTTATTTTTAATAAATTTTGAACAGTAAAACTATTCTATAATTGGGAAAAAAGTATTTCAGGAAGTGCGCCAAAACTATGCCGCAAATTGACCTTAAAAAAATCACTTCAATGGTTTGAAAATTCTATTTCTAAATGAACTGAACAGAATACATAAATATTGCACACATACCAGTAGGTGATGGGTCCGGGATTCTTGTATTTGACGTGGGTACATAAGACACAGTCTGTGTTTGTGGTAATGATGAGACAGCTGAACTTGGACCAATGCCAATTATCTTCTAAAAATATATCAAACAGAAAGTTCATAATAATTGTATCATATGCCAGGTCATGCATAATGTTCACTTTGCTAATTTCTTTAAAAGAATAAATTGTACAGAAACACATGGAAATGTTACAAATTTTGATAAATGACATCATGCCTATCTTAATGGTATGATCAATAATCTTTGTTATACACATAAAAATCTATAAATATTATTTGGATTGTATCAATGATGTTCAATTTATACAAAAAGAGTAGGGCAGTCTTTTTATATTTTAGGTAAATTTTACATTTCATCATAAACATTTTTTTACCAATTATTGGTCAGTAACCACTATAATAGTCACTCTGAAAAAAAATGAGCACAATGTCAGTTTAAAGGAGTTCTTTTATAAAAATAAAACTTACGGCTGGTGCTGGGGATACAAGTCCTGCAGCATAATCTGGAGTATAGGGGGCAGGGTTTGTTGTTTGGTTAGCTGCAGCAGCAGCTTTTTCTGCTTCTCTCTTCTCCTTTGCTAGCTCATTAGCTTCTATCTCTGTAAACAGGAAACCATTGCATAATTGTTGTATAAAACACAAAACATGAAAAAAGCAAGCTGTATACCAACAATGGCAATGTGCTTTATTTTAAGCCAATGTGCTTCATTTAAAGCCAATATACTTCAATTTAAGCCATTATGCTTTATTTTATGCCAATGTGCTTTGTTTTAAGCCACTTTGCTTCATTTTAAGCCAATCTGCTTTGTTTTAAGCCACTTAACTTCATTTTAAGCCAATCTGCTTCATTTTAAGCCAATCTGCTTCATTTAAAGCCAACATGCTTTATTTTAAGCCAATCTGCTTCATTTTATGCCAACATGCTTTATGTTAAGCCAATTTGCTTCATTTTAAGCTACTCTGCTTCATTTAAGCCACTTTAGATATAGCTCATTTGGTTTGTATAAGGAACATAAGTTTATATATTATATCAACCTTCAGCCTCCATGTGACCATGTGAACTACCCATGCCACCAGCGCAGATCAAGATCAGCCAGCACATCCGTGTCATATGCACTGTTTGCTATTTAGTCATAACATAGTTTAAAGGTTTCCCTACAAATGATGAATGGTTTTGTCCAGAATGAAAGATGGACACATCCATTTAAGGTATTTAGCATGGTTAGGGTTAAAACTGTGCAGGTCATAACAAATTTTAATTATATCAAACACATGACTTATAAATAATCTTTATTTTAGACTATTATACTCTTATTCTTACCAGCCTGCTTTCTTCTCCTCTTGGCTTCTTTAGGTGCTAATGGTTGCTCAGTAATATCTAGCAACTGAAACAAATGACTGACATATCAATGACCACTTAATAAAAATACAAGTATTATGTTTTTCAGTAATTAAAGAACTGTGAAAAAGGAATTATCACATATGTCATGGAACATTTAATAAAAATGATATTACACTAGTGTAATAACTCTTTGACGTGACATCATTTTCGTTATATACAAACATAGCATTAAAGCACACTAATGTCAGCATTGCACTATAGGCGCTTATACATCATAATTAGAGCAGACAAAAAGAGGTTAAGTCATCTGCCTCTTAACACAGGGTTCAAGCCCACTGAGGTCACGATTGTGTTTACTATAAAATCTCACCACTATTCATTGGTCTCTTAGAGTTCAAATAAGCTACAAACTGTCTTCAATCAAACTTAAACGAGTAATATTTAACTAAGATCAGAACAGTGTAGAGAAAACAAAATCACATAGAAACTGTTGTTTTACCTTAATTCCACCTTCTTTTTTCAGAGCATTCAATCTGTTAGGAGTTCCAGCAATGGAAGAACCTGAACTGCCAAGAAATCCTGACTTCCTTCCCACAGAGTTTGGACTCAGGAAACCCCCAGTTGGTACATTTCTACCATGAATACCCTTCAAAGGAGCTGAAATTACCAGCATAATACAATAATATCAGAAAAAGGTTTAAACTAAGTTGTTTTTTTGTTGTTGTTTTTTTTGCTAAAGTCTCAGGGAAACTCTGACACACATTTGTATGCATTATTTAGTTTAAGAGGTCAAAGCCACTGACCTTCAAAATTGTAGTCAGAGTCTGCAAGGTTGCCATTAGGAGGTAGCTTGTGGACTAAAATGTTTGTTTCAAATGCATTTTATGCCACCTCAATATTTAATAAACACTCTTTGATTATGTGATGAAAACCAAAAATCATGTATCTTGAAATAAGGCATAAAAGGCTACACAAATACTACAGATAACCTTAATCAAATCAAAGTTAGAGGGCTGCAGTGCATTTTTCTAAATAAAAAGACTCTTTTAATTGGTTCTTGATAACTTGTCAGTTTTTATATATCCAAGTGTTAATGTCATATGAGCATAAAATATGGTGAACAGGTTTTGCAAATTATCAGCAGTTCACTAAGAGCACATGAATATCTTATATTTTCTCAGTATTAACAAAATCTGACAAATTAACAAGAGCTGTTAGAAGGACAACGTGCTGAACTATTTTCAGTGCTTAATATAAAACAAGAGCCTGGATAGCAGAGAATATTCTTAGTTCATAAAGGGCCATTTTTCCGTCAAATTCCATATTAATATTGTGCGCATTGGAAACTGACCTACTATTATGTACTCAAATAAGTGTGTAAAGTTTGAACCCATTCCGTTCAGTAGTTTTGGAGATAACAACTTGCTTGCATAAAAATTAACTTATGTGTGAAGCCGACACCAATAAGTATAAACCATGTAGCTGTACTATTCTTAGGACAGTTGACCTGAAAATGAGAATCAATTAAACACAAGATACTAAACTTGCAAAACCTTAACCAATGTATGACATCAACACCAATGAGTATAGCATATGAGACTGTACTATTCTTCGAACAGTTGACCTAAAATATGAATTTGTTAAAACATGACACTTACTAAAATCGTCCATCTTCTTGGCAAAACTTCGTACTTTGATTGGTACATAATCAGATCCATTTCTCTTCCTATTAACAGCTGCTTCCGATGCTGGAAATATTTTACACTTTGTACAATAAACATTTGAAACAACTTGATTGATGAACAGACTTTTTCAGCAAGTAAAACTTCTCATAAATTAACAACAAAAGATGAACATTGTGTGATTTTGTATATCACAATTATAATTCAGTTTCAACATTTAAGGTATGACAATCCTAATGTATTACCTCCCCTTTGAAGAGTTTTTAATTGGGCTAGAACTACTGTAAAGTACATTGAAACTTCAGGTCGTGGGTTCAAACCCCAGAAGGGTAACCTTGTTCTTTTAAAAAAATTATTTATGTATCTCTCATAACCCTTTGCTAAATGCTAAATCTTGTAACGAATATTGAACCTGATATTTTCAAAGTGCAATCAAATCAAAACAAGACGGTAAAAGTATTTTATATTTGACAATATCAACCAATATACTTTTTAGAAAATCAAGGGAAAACTTTGAAAACAGGCACTCATTTAAGTAAATTTTAGGGATTTTTGAAATCTCAAAGTAGGAAATTGGTCAAACACATGTTAAAATTGGATGGGGTAGGGTAACATTTTTATACTTATTTTATAAAGAAGAGTTTATAAAGAGTAGAAACAATCATTTTGCTTATGAGAACTGTTAGCTGAATGTTACATTTTGTTTCTTATGAAAACATTTTTCATTACGCTGATATTGTAGATTACTTAAAGGTTCCTTATTTCTGAAAAAGGATCCTTCTAACATCCAAGATTAAAATCAGAAAAGTGGTCATAACTTGATTTTCGTACGGTAAAGTTTGTTGAAATTTTGCATACAGGTGTCCTTTAAGGTATATATCTAACCTATGTAGTCAATTTTTCAGTTCCTTACACTTCATGTTAGGATGGTAATACCTAAATAAAAGAATCCCTTTTTAGTTCATGTAAATTGAAATTCCTTGTATGTTACAGCAACTTTCTAGACCATGACACATTTTTTAATCAAAGGTCATAACTAAGCCAAAAATCATTCAACCAGAAAACTCATAATATATGCAAAGGTACTTAAAAGGAAATAATTTTAAAATTTTTCTTTTAAAATTTAAATTTTAGTAGAAAAAAGGTTTTTAAGGTCCAGCCCAAAATTTTAAAATCTTTTTAAAAGGGGCCAAACTCGGGACAAAAATATTAACCATAAAAGGGAAGATGATAAGCACCCACTTGACTTTTAGTAGCTGGTTCATTTCCTTTTAAGTTTGGATGAAATTGCAACAATAATTTTTGAGAAGTAGTCCAGACAAGTTATGTGACAGACGTAGAGACAACAATAAAATGATCTGTATTATATTGCGCATAAAAATTACACCTCCCAATACAAAGTTTTAAACCATACCAAAAGTTATAGGGCCAACAAAATAAAAATAGAACTTACATTTTTGTAATAGTTCAGCTCTTAAAGCAGCTGACTTTGGTTTACGTTTGAGAGCAAAATGTTTGGTGGGAAGTGGCTGCTGTCCAGTTGTAGCAATCAGTGCCGTCTTGTTTAGAAATTGGCATTCCATAGGTAACATCTTTACATCTACTGAACGCTTCACTTTAATTTAAACAGTAAAAGAATTCTCATACAACCTTTACATTACATTTCATCCCTGATCTACCAATCATAGTTTCTACCCTATAAATGTGTAATGTTGTTGCTGATATATAAAACAAGCAAATTCGTTGAATTTATATCCCCCTCAGAGTACTGGTTATTACTAACGCAACAACTGAAGACATAAGGCTTTATTTATATATCTATCATGGCGTAAACAGTAATATTCTTAGTACATAATAATATTCAGGGCAATAACAGAGTCTGAATTAACTCGGTGTTAAATAGTAATATCTGGACATGGCAATGGGATGTAAATTGCCTTTTTGTATCTATGGTTTCCCATAAAGTTTTGTTCAAATCAATACAGCAGTTGCAAAGAAATAGCAATATTGCTCTATATTAGGGCCGGGGAATTATATTCGAATATTCGAATATTCGAAACACTACCGAATATTCGAACATTGAAAAACGAATACGAATATTCGAAAAAAAAAGGAGAAATGTTTCATTTTTGTCATTACTTTCAAATTTCAATTCAGATCGTAAATTAAACCTTTGCCCTTTCTTTCACCAGGTGGTTCAAATGTTTGTATGACGCGTGTCAACAATTATCGCCAATTAACTGTGAAAACTTTGGGGTATATGTTGATCAAAAGGGCACCCATTTCACAGTTTGCAATTTACCTGTTGAACAGTTTATAATGTAAATTTTTCCGATTTTAATTATCTTATTTATTGTTTTCTGTGTTAAAATCTTTCAGATTTATCAATAATTGTCTTAAATTTTTGTGAATAAGAATAAATTGGCACCATTATTTGGCGCATTATGAAAGCATATGAAGTGTCAAAATTCTGTCAGAATACATTTATTCCGTAGACATTAGACTCCGTGTGATATTTACCTCGTTATAGCTAAACTTATCTAAAGAATATTTTAAACTTTATCTAAAATTATAAATAAAAATATTTTAATACAAGTTAAGTTTCAATATCATTATGTGTCTTTGGGGATAAATGGCTACGATGATTCATATTACTGTCAGTCAAGTCACGTGAGTTACCTCCCGTTAATAAGACAGCGGTCGGGTTTACTGAACAAAAGGCAATCAAATTATGAATTTATTTCAAAAGTAAACATATATATCTCGATTTACGATATATAAATTAAAAAAACTTCGACATAGCAATAAAGGTATTTTTAATCGCCGATTATTCCAAGCATTTTAAAGTAGTATAGTATTCGACGCAGTCAATTTCGGATACGTATACGTCAAAGAGAAATATTGGAACAAATGTTGTAAAAACGAATATTCGAATATATTCGAATATGGAAAACGAATATTCGAACATCGAATTCCTTATTCGTTCCCAGCCCTACTCTATATATATACATGTATACTACATAACTAATCAAGGCCCATAACTCTGTAATGAAGGGTCTGGTCTGAACAAGGCAACAAATTATGCACATCTCATCTTGGTATTAATGGTTCCCATAAAGTTTAATTGAATTCCAGCCAGTAGTTGCAGAGAAGTAGCGTGGAAACAATTATTGCTCTTAGAGTCTATATGCATACTGCATAACTAATCAAGGGCCAAAACTCTGAGTTAGTGTATGACCAGAACAAGGCGATGATATGCGCATCTACTCTTGGTTTTGAAGGTTCCATAAAGTTTGCCCTATATGCATACTGCATAACTAATCAAGGGCCATAACTTTGAGTTAAAGTGTCTGACCGGAACAAGGCAACGATATGCGCATCTCCTCTTGATAGTGATGATTCCCATAAAGATTCCTTTAAATTCCAGCCAGTAGTTGCAGAGAAGTAGCGCGGAAACGGTTATTGCTCTATTTGCATAATACATAACTAATTAAGGGCCATGACTCTGAGTTAAAAGGTCTAACTGGAACAAGCCGGCGATATACGCATCTCCTCTTGATTTTGATGATTCCCATAAAGTTTCAATGAATTCCAGCCAGTAGTTGCAGAGAAGTAGCGCGGAAACAAATTCGGATAGACAGATGGACAGCCAGAATGACGTCCGTTCTAACAGGAGAGTAATAATGTGGCTACTCTATTGTTCTCTCTATTGTTGTTTTTAGCCACACAAAAGAAAATAGCCACATAATAAATGACATCAAAGAGAAAGAACAGTTACCTATTGTCCCTCTAGCCACATAATAACTGTCCTGTGAGTGCAGACAGACAGAAGGATGGACGGATGGACAACGCCAAAACAATATCCCCCTCCCTATTCCATCGACGGGGGATAAAAATGTAATAAAATAAGGGCTGAAACAATTGTGTGAATCTCAAGCAATAATATTGCTTAATATAACATTTTCACTTCTACTTATTATGGTTATCATTCGGACTTATTATTTAATTATGTTAAGACATTTTGAAGCTGCAAAATAAGTAACTTTACTTTCCTGATGAAAGTTCAGATGTACAAAAAGTAGAATCTTAAATAAAATTAGTTAAACTGACCGAGTGTTTGACCGGTTTTTACACCCTTTCAACAGTTTTCAAGTAACTTGTTAAGTTCATAAAATCAGGCTACATTATTTCAAATACCATCACAATTTTTATAAATATACTTTCATGAAATTGATCAAATTATCTTATTACCCATCTTCTTAAGGTCAGCCAAAACCTCTGCAAATGTTCCATTATTATCCTCTAACTCAAGATTGAGGGCTCCAGTTGCTGGATATGTGCGCAAGATCTCTCCTACCATAGATACCCATTGGTCTGTATCATGTATAGCTGACATCAGAATCTCTTCAAGCTGCCCTTTACACTGGATTATACAAATATTATATATATTAATAATTTTTCAACAGAAAAAAAACTGTACTATGTTTTGGTCTACCAAATTTTACACTTTTACTTTAATTTGCCACATAGAACAGATTCAATGTATAATATATACCAATTGTCTTTAATGACTTATACCAAAAATCAAATGATCAAAAGAAGACAAGGCTCTTTGAATATATACCTAGTTGAAAATAAAAGATAAACAAAATAATTAATGCACAGTTGCTCTTTTAATGTGTGATGTTTTTTCATATTTTACTTAGTTCTATAAATCTGATGTTGCTTTGAGATATTATTACTTCTTGGAAAAGCAATGTCATACTGAAAATGCACATAAACCCATAGCACGGTCTCTAAGAAAATCTTGCGGAATGATAAAACACGTAAGTCAGCATATAAAATAAATACATTAATTTTGAGCTGTTTATGAACAAGCAAATTCGTTGAATTTATATCCCCCGCCGAGTACTGGTTATTATTAACACAACAACTGAAGACATAAGGCTTTATTTATATATTAATCATGGCATAAACAGTAATATTCTTTGAACTTGATAAATATTCAGGGCAATAACAGAGCCATAACTTTGTGTTAAATAGTAAAATCTGGAAATGCCAATGAGATGTATGCATACTACATAACTAATCAAAGGGCCATAAATCTGAGTTATAAGTATCTGACTGGAACAAGGCGACTATATGCACATCTCCTCTTAGTATCCCATTCCAGCCAGTAGTAGCAGAGAAGTAGCGAGGAAACAAATATTTTTCCATATGGATACTGCAAAACTAATCAAGGGCCATAACTCGAGTTAAAGTATCTGACTGGAACAAGCCGACGATATGCGCATCTCCTCTTGGTATTGAAGGTTCCCATAAAGTTTCGTTGAACTCCAGCCAGTAGTTGCAGAGAAGTAGTGCGGAAACGATTTTTACTCTGTATGCATACTACATAACTAATAAAGGGCCATAACTCTGAGTTAAAGGGTCTGACCAGAACAAGCCGACGATATGCGCATCTCCTCTTGGTATTGATGATTCCCATAAAGTTTCGTTGAATTCCAGCCAGTAGTTGCAGAGATATACTCCGGAAACGATTTTTACACTATATGCATACTACGTAACTAATCAAGGGCCATAACTCTGAGTTAAAGGGTCGGACCGGAACAAGCCGACGATATGCGCATCTCCTCTTGATATTGATGATTCCCATAAAGTTTCGTTGAATTCAAGCCAGTAGTTGCAGAGAACTACTCCGGAAACGAAATTCGGACGGACGGACGGACAACGCCAAAACTATATCCCCCTACCGATTCCATCGGCGGGGGATAACAAAAGTAGAAAAGAAATACATTAAACAAAGAAGAGGGCCATGGTGGCCCTGAAATCGCTCAGGCTCCATGGCCAAGGCCAATTTTAAACCTGGGGCTTTTATTTGAACAAACTTGGTAGACACCCATTAGAAGATGTTTCATGCTACATATCTAAGCTCTAGCTCTTTGGGGTTTTTAAAAGAAGATTTTAAAGTTTTTACTATATACATAAAGATAAAAAAACAATGATACCCAGGGGCGGGGCCAATTTTTTACCCCAGGGCTTTTATTTGAACAAACTTGGTAGACACCCACTAGTAAATGTTTCATGCTTAATATCTAAGCTCTTGCTATTTTGGTTTTTTAAAAGATGATTTTTTAAATTTTTACTATTTACAAATAAAGAAAATCAATGACCCCTTGAAGCAGGGAAATTTTTTACCCCTGGGCTTTTATTTGAACAAACTTGGTAGACACACACTAGAAGATGTTTCAGGGCCAAAAAACCCTTCTTTGTAGAGGCCGAATATAGGCTGCTTCCCCAACCAAAATAGCCTCTTTTTCCCCCACTTTGGTCCTCAAAATTCCCCAGTCTTTTGAAATTTCCATAGAATTTAGAACAAAATTAAATGATGGTGTTGAATTAAGGTCTTTTACTGCCTTATTTTAAGTATTTCCCAGTACTTTTTGCTTTTCTATTTTAAAGAACTATTTTGAAGAACTTGTTAAAAGTTTGTGTTAAATTTGAGTATGCCAAAATCACGCATATATTTCCCCAAGAAAAAGGTTGAGGCCCCTTCCCCAAAAATGGTGTTTTGGCCCTGTGTTTCATGCTTAATATCTAATCTCTAGCTATTTTGGTTTTTAAAAGAAGATTTTTTAAGTTTCTACTATATACAAATAAGGAAAATCAATGACCCCCGGGGCGGGGCCAATTTTGACCCCAGGGCATTTATTTGAACAAACTTTGAAGACACTGACTAGATGATGTTTCATGCCAAATATTTAAGCTCTAGCTCTTTCGGTTTTCTAAAATAAGTTATTTTAAGTTTTCTCTTTTGGTTACCATGGCAACCAGAGTTCTGCATGGAATTACCGGTAAATTCAATTTTTAAAGTTGACTACCAAAGGAACATTCCTGTGAAGTTTGGATGAAATTGGCTTAGCAGTTTATGAGGAAATGTCGTTTAAAGTTAAAGTTTACAGACAGACGGACGGATACTGGACGGACCCCAGCAGAAAAGCGATCACAAAAGCTCACCATGCCAATTTATGACAGGTGAGCTAAAAAGTGAAACATCCAAAAATCCTGTTTTAATCCTTTTATTTAAAATTAAAGTACTTATACAGCCGGTCACACAGTGCACAATATCAGACTGGCTTATCAAATGCACGTGTTTAAGTAAGTTAAAAGTTTTCAAACAAAATATTTTGGAACAAAATATTTGTCCATGCACCGTCAGTGTGTACAAATATATTTTTCCATACAAAATTGGAATCAATCTGTCTATTGCTTTACCTATCAAGTATGGCAGATAAGCAAAGATAGATTGTTGTTTTTTAAATTGATAATTACATTGTTTGAGATTTCTTATTAATGATGGAGCATGAAATTGACAAAAAATCTAATAAACTTTAAGTAAATCTTGAAAGGCAAGACAATATTTAGAATTTTAGACATGTTTTGAATTTTTTCTGTTGTATGCATTAATAAGCAATAACTTTAGATGTCGACGGCCATGTATGCTTTAAAACCCCGAAAATGCCTGTTACTGACAATTGTAGCATTTTTGAACCTTCCACAAAATCCGTTTTCAATTCTCCCCTCAACTTTTTAACCAACACTTGGGGTCATTTCCCAAACCCCCGGGTTTAAAATGCACCTGTAAAAGGGTAAAAAAATCTCTAAACACAAATGGGCATCTGTCTTAATCATTAAAATTAATTTTTAAGCCATTCCCATAAGAAAGAATAAAAAAATTCTCATATACTGGCAAGTCTCAAAAAGGTAAAAATTGCACACTCCAAAATATAAACACAAAGTTTCAAAACAAATTTAATTAAACATGTTTAATAAAAACTTGAGCGGTGGCCTAGTGGTTAAGGTGTCTGCCTCTCAACCCAGAGATCATGGGTTTGAGCCCTACTCGGGTCTCGACCATGTTTCTTCATATGATACCAGTTCTGGTTGGTTCCAGGAAGCGAACACAAAAGTGATTAATGTAAGTTGCAAAAATTTGTTTTGCAATCCAGCTAAAGTAAGTATGTTTAAACCAAACCAAACAATGAGAGATTATAAACCAATTTGATTTTGTGTAGTCACTGCCAGCAATACTGTTTCCAGTGTTATAACTTTAGTAAATTGGCTATAAGGCTTATTGCAACACTGATATTCAAATCAATCTTTATTTGGCTAAAACAATTTAAAAAAAAAAAAAAAAACAAAAAAACAAGAGGGCCATGATGGCCCTGAGTGCTCACCAGAAACAACTGCTTTTCAGTGTTGGAAATTATCCATTGTATATATTTTCTAATATTAAATTTGAGCATAGAATATGTTTAAACAATAATTTGAAGAAATGCTATGACCTGGGACAGTGTTTCCGCTACTCTGCGTTTCTTGCGTTTTTGACGCAATAATTTCAAGAATGATGCATTGGAAAAGGTAAAGCGCGTTTTCTATGAAGCAGTGATAATCTGCCTTACATGTAATTAGATGCATTTTCATTAAGTTATTTCTCCTATTATTAGTGCCATCGTGTTAAAATCGGCAATTATTGTTTCAGTATCCGCAATGGCCATCCGAAATTTATTTATTTCCAGTAACTGCGGGATGTATAAGATGCTAACCTATTCTGTGTCGTTATCGGCACAACATTTAACCGTTCTACAATCAGTCACGGTATCCACGATTTAGACATGCACGGTCAGGGTGTAAACAAGCGATTTGTGCATGCAGACGCTTTTCTCACAATGGCAAGCACACCACAAAAAATAGGGGCTTTAGTCAGTGACATAGATAACAATGTTATCTACATCTCTGCTGTAGTGGTCAAAAATATCTAAGTTTCTGCAATAAACAGACGTATGACAGGTTAAATGTTTTCATGCAAATAAGACTTGGTTCTTCCTTAAAAGATTTTTCATTTGCATCTGCAAAAAGTGAGAAATTGAAGTTAACATGTGAAATCAAACAGTTCTGAGATTTACTTTTGTAGTTTTTACTTGATAAAAGCCTACCCAAGAATGCTACAAAGTTTGGTGATCATCTATCAATTATTTCAGTAGGAAATGATGTTCAAAGGTTTTTCTTATTTTAGCTTTAGTGACCCCTAAAAGGGGCTAATCAAATTAATATGAGCAAACTTGATAAAAGACTACCCAATAATGCTACAGACAAAGTTTGGTGATCATCCATCAATCAGTTCTGTAGAAATAGATGTTTAAATGTGTTGCTATTTTATGCATAAGCGGCCCCTAAAAGGGGCTAATCAAATTTATATGAGCAATCTTGATAAAAGACTACACAAGAATGCTACAGACAAAGTTTGGTGATCATCCATCAATAAGTTCTGTAGTAGAAGATGTTTAAAAGTATTCTATTTTTAGCTCTGTTGACCCTTAAATGGGGCCAATTGAAATGAAATGAGCAAATTCAAGTGTGACTGTCACAAGGATGCTACAGACCAAATTTGAAGTAAATCTATATAAATATAGTCTACATTTATATTAGTGTTGTCCCGATTGTCTCTGAAAATCGATAACTAATCGGACCACCCCAAAATCGGCAACTATCGATAGTCCTTTTTAACAAGAGCTGTCTGTAGGACAGCACGCTCGACTATTCTAAGTGCTTGATAGTAAAAGAGCCTTTATATTGTTTAATTTTTTAAGTTCACAAAAGGGCTAATTTTTTTTTATAAATTCATGTTATAGGCCTAAGAGAGAGTCTAATTATACAGTATTGGCTTGACTATTCGGAAGGTAATGTCACAAGGGTGTTTTATTGAGTATAATAATACTAATTACCTATGAATAAATAAATTTGACAGAAAAGGTACAAAGGCTTGTTATTAAGATGTTTTATCACGTAAATCACTGCTTTATTATTATGAATGCATAAAATTGTCCCGAAAAAGGCACAAACCCTTCAGTAGTTATTGAGATAACAACTTACAAGAAAAACTTAAGCATGAATTTCTAAGTTGAAAAAGGGGAGAAAAATCAGCCTAAATGCAAGATAGAATTATGGATTTTTGTCAGTGACCTACAATTATGACCCTAAATGCATATGTGAAGTTTTTAATAAATATCTTTAATAGTTATTGAGATATGTAAAACTTGCATGTAAACATTAACCAAGAGACTAAGTAGAAAAGGGGATATGAATCAGCCTAAATGAGACTAGAGTTATGGAACTTGATCAGTGACATACAATTATGACCCTCAAATTATGACTCGAAGTGCATGTGTAAAGTTTCCAGTAAATATCTTTGAAGACCTTTAACCTTTAACCAAAATTTCTAAGTTTCAAAGGGGCGAATAATTCTGCAAATATTGTAGGCAGAGTTATCCAACTTGTCAATCTGATGTACCTTGTTACTATAAAAAAGTATTTTAAATTTCAATTGAATATCTCAACCAATAATTGAGATATTTGACTTTACAAAAAAACTTTAACCAAAATTTCTAAGTTCCAAAGGGGCATAATTCTGTTAATATTGTAGGCAGAGTTATCCAACTTGTCAATCTGATGCACCTTGTTACTAGAAATAAGTATTGTAAGTTTCAATTGAATATCTCAAGCAATAATTGAGATATTTGACTTTACAAAAAACTTTAACCAAAATTTCTAAGTTAAAAAGGGGCATAATTCTGTCAATATTGTAGGCAGAGTTATCCAACTTGTCAATCTGATGTACCTTGTTACTATAAATAAGTATTGTAAGTTTCAATTGAATATCTCAAGTAATAATTGAGATATTTGACTTTACAAAAAACTTTAACCAACGCAGACGCCGACGCCGGGGCGACTACAATAGCTCTCATATTCTTCGAATAGTCGAGCTAAAAATCGATTATTTTAATGTTCTACCACCGCATGAATTGCTTAGGGCGTAACTTTTTTACACGCGGTCAAATAGAAATTTCCCGACTGAATCTCTTTAATTCCAGACGATCCTAAAGTCTTTTTTGTATTCAAAACCTATTTATCATGGTTAATACTACTTTAGAAAATTATAGTGTGTAATAACATAACATTATAAACTTATATATAATTATCTACTGTAGTTAAATTAGTGATCTACAATACTACTCATTTATATTGTGACCTGTTGACTAGTACTAATATTGACTGCCATAAAGTTGTATTATACAATAATTGACTGTCACAAAGTAGTATTAGGTATTTGTGTTGTTTGTTTTGAATTCAAAGAGCAAATCATACTTTAATCTTGGAGACAAGAGTTTATTTATTCTCAAAATGTGGTCACTACTGTATATAAAAATACATACAAGGATTGGTACCTTAAAAGAAAATAGGGCCATAAAAAGTGCAAAACTCGATTATACTATCGGCAGACAATCGATTGTGGTGGTCCGATTATCGATAGTGATTTTTGAGTCTGATACCCAACACTAATTTATATACATATTATAAGGTTATGACTTAAATCTCATTTTAAGGTCACCATCATGCAGTATGAATCTGGGTCAGCTCGGCCCTAAAACGTACTCGGCCCCCGAGTCAGCTCGGCCCTATTCCAAATCGGCACGGGTCAACTCGGCCCACTTTTAAAAGTGGGTAAAAGACATTAAAGGACTTCTATTGTCACGGGCTATTATAATCAATCAATGTGTATGTTAAGGATACCGATTAATTAGGTGATAATTATGATTGACTCATTCATTCAAATTTGATTAGTGACCACCTGCAATGAATTAGAAGTTTATGATTTTAAGTAAACACGTTTTTGTTTCATATTTTTTTTAAATATTACTTAACAAACAAAATGCAGCTAAGGAAACACATTTTTATTATATCAAATAATATTAATTTTATCGAATCTGCAAGACAAATAAATAACTTTTTTTTTCTAAATATACTTTATTTCGGCAGAAGTACAATGTATAATTATACGCGGAAAGTCCGAGCAGGGCCGAAGGCCCCGCGAGGGCTGTAGCGCTCTTAGATAACATGCATGACGCGTATCAATTCAAATGAAATCAAATTAAAAGTAAATGAAAATTTCAAAAAAATACATATCCTATACCTAATGAGCTGTGAAAAAATCCTTAGTTAACTGGGCGCCGCCATTTTGAAATCCTTTTGAGCTAAATATAAATATCACAGCGTTTTTAATGAGCGTCTACATAATTCAGACTATTGCTAGCAGACGCACGCTAAATAACACTTCCGGTGAAAGAATGATGTACAACATCAGAAAATGAACATTCATTTCATTCATAAGAACTATAGTAACGATGTTAAATGTAAACAGTTACTTTTAAATCCTTTTTGATAAATTAGCACATTAAAAATGACGTAAAAACAACATATGTGATTAGAGATTAACAGAAAATGGCGGATGCCGACACTTGCGCAGTGGTCCCTCTCCCCTATGATAGGTTGAACACCACCAATTTATTCTATTTATGTTTACGGTACAAAGTACCTGAATTTACTTATTAACAAATTGCATGATAGATCTGGTCAACATGTACACTAAACATGTTATGCTTAAATCATAATCATAAGAGCTTTCCGCGCCATAGGTAGCACCTAATTTCATATTATAATAATAAGATATTTCTTATTATTCATTTACCTTAACAACATGCAAAGCAAAGGTAATACGTTATATATATTTTTGTAAAGTGGGCCGAGTTGACCCGTGCCGAGTTGGTATAGGGCCGAGTTGACTCTTTTCCATGCAGTATTTACCATCCAAACACAGTGTGGGGCCCCCTGTGTTCTGTGACACTAACGCTAACCCATAACCCTAGAAGTAACCCGAATGATTTTGTAGAGTAACATAAATATTTAAGAAAAGATATTACTTATGTATAATCAAAATGTTCAGAATAGATGCGGTCTAGCCGTCAATATAATATAAATAAACATTGACACAAATTTTAATTTTACCAAGTCAACATTTCTCCTCGGAATATGTAGGAATGACAGCATAAGCTTGACTTTGACATGAGGCTGTAATGTATGAAAGCATGCATGGACACTCTGCAGTCTTTCCTGTGACAGCTGAGAGCATATTGTTTTGCCGGACCACAAATCATCAGTTGAACCCAATTTGTTATGCAGCCAGAGGGGCCAAGTGTCACCGGGCCCGGCCATTTTTGGAAAGACTCGCCTACATTTAAAATAAAAAAATTTTGTTTGGGTCGAAAAAATGTGCCGTTTTTAATGATTGGGGGAACCCCGTTTTTTCCATTTAAAAACCTTTTAAATCCCGTATACGCTATTTTTCGCAGCGGTTGCCCCCTTTTGACCTTCCCGAAAAATTTGGGGGGGAGGTTCCTGCGGGGATTTGTACGGGGTTTCCTTTTCCATGATGTGTAAATTCATACGCTACTTTAATTTCAATACTTATTTGAATGTTCGTACTTTAATGACTCTTCTTCCCAGTTTTTATATTCATCCCAATATTTTGAAACTTGACAGATTAATGAATAGTTGTGATAAAAAATTCTACTAAATCTTTATTTCTTAAAAACATTATGTAATACTTCTAGATCTCATTCTCCGTTCCCATTTGTTACAACGTAAAATACGTGTAGTATTTAATTCAGTAGTTGAAATGAACAATATGATCTCCTTTCTTGTTTATTTAGCTAGTTATATTTGTATTTTCTATTGTGATATTAGTTGACTTTTTACTGTTATATTTCTGTTCGTTTGTTTGTTATAACCAGTTGCATATTACTATATGCCTTCCCAGGTTCAATAAAAACTGAAACTGATAAAATAGTAAAAATAAGTAGTCAACAGAAAGTCTTAAAATTTCCTTTTATATAACGACGTTTTCGGCTGGAACTTTGGTTCAACATAATGTTTTTAATGTTTTAAAAATGTAATCAAGTATACCGCATCAGATGAATTTGTAAACATGACATATATCAGGGCCTTTCAAATATATATAAAATACCATAATGATACCAAATGTGTTGCTAATACTTTCTGGTAAATGAATCAGATTCATCTATTTTTTACAATTTAATAAAAAGTTACTCTTTAAATATATAAGTAGTTGAAAAAAAGATAAAATAAAACAATTCATGTTGCTCTTAATTTTAATGCGTGATGTTGCACTTTGATACCCTACCAGTTTTAGGTACATTGTTCAGTTAAGAGTGAACAAAAATGTCTTGAATATTCTTTGCTATTTATGCAATGATATGTTAATAATCGTGCAGTTGTCTTCAGAATACTGTAATAAAATTGTAACGGTAAAATGACATTGATTTCCATGGAAAATTAATTTATTGAGGTAAACCATTTAATTGAAATATGGTTGTATATAGTAAAATATTAGTTTTGTATAAATAACTGTGTAATTGAGATGCAATATGCTTTTATTTTATTCTTTATTCTATTTATTTTATTTTTTTATATGGTCGGCAAAATTGAAATAGGTCTATAATGTTCATACTGCATGATATCCATTTGATTTCGCGTTGTGTACTCGACACATGGGTAGAATATTTATTTTGAGGAAAGTTTTTTTAAGAGGTTTGCATTTCACTTCATGACAGTCAATAAGAAAATACTCGTGCCTGTGAGTAAAAATTTATTAGAAACACTTGTGGAGTCTTGAAGTCATGAATAGCCATATGAATTTGAATAATGATATGGAAAACATTAAATGGTACGATAGTTTTACAAAAATTTGGTCATTTTAAAATTTTGTAGCTGTTTAAAAATTTATTACTTTTTGATTTCCCTCCAAGTTAGTACCCCTCAGGGGGAAATTTTTCTAATAAAACAAAAAAGTACTGCGAAATATTTTTTTTTATTTACTCGGTATTTTAGTTTTTTCTAGTGTTGCTCAGATTTTTTACCTATCGTTTGTAGAAATATATGAAAATTTTAAAACATATAAATTTTTCCCCTTAAGGGTTTATTTCCCCCAAAGTTTACAAAATCTTAAACTGTTCCTTTAAGTTTGGCCTTTTTATGTTTTATGGGGGAAAAATCCGTCCCTTTGTAGGTGGTTTTTTTCTATATACCTAGGATCTTTTTCAGAAACATTGAATCTCGCCCGGGAAAATGTTGCCCGGGCGATTCTTTTTTTAAAACCCAACCCAAAACAAAAGGGTTTAAATAAGAGTTTGTTTGCATGTTAAGCATCGTGTGGTGGAAAGGGATTTGAAAAACCCCTTTGTTTTTTTGAGTTTTTTTAAGTGTTTATTTTTCTTTAAAATATATTGATATTTTGGAACCCCTTGCAAAACCCCATGACGGAAAGAATACGAAGACTGCATAAAGTCCAAAACAAAAATATGTATATATAGAAGAAAGTTCGGAGGGTAGAATTACATTCCGATTTTCTTATAAAATGCTTTGAATTTTACATAAATGTTTAAGAAAATGAAAATTCACCATGTGATTGTCCTATTATGGTGTTACAGTACACATCTGGATCAGCGGTAATTCTGAGATGCTCAATTTTGAGATCCATATATGAGGCTCCACCCCCGTGTGTTTATTAATAGTTAATATACAGTCAAACATGTGGCGATCATCACCACGTATTCAAACAGAGATAATTATAGAATCTAAAACGCACCTCCCCCCCCCCCTTTTTTTTTTTTTTGTGTGTGTGTGTTTTGATTTTGAACAGTATGGATTTGTTTTAGATACAATGTCTGTGCGTCATATATTAAAATGGTACACATGTATACTGTCATCGTTTATGGTAAGTTTAAAAGTACCAAATTATAACTTAAAGTGAAATCTTGATTGCTCCTGGGAATACGTAAAGGCTACTTCCCAGATTGTTGTAATGGTACAAATATTACATTACTGTGATGTATGTGATACACATATAAGTTATATGTCTCGTGAGTTTTATATAAACCTTAAGATTTGTTAATTGATGGCCGTTATATATACGTATTGGTTACATATGCTAGTAGAACATGCTAGAGAATAGTCATGTGTTGGTCATTAATTAACAGTAATCAAAAGTTATATTTTGAAAGATGTTTAACTTTTCTATATATATTTACTTCAAAGTATAGGATAACAAAATTTGAGAGAGCGGGATGTAAAATTTAACAAGTTTTCTTTGTGAAAAAAAGTATTAAGTAATAGAAAATAAATGAGACCTTTGCAATATATACAATCAAAGACTTAGATTAGATAAAGCTCTGTGTGATACAATCAATGTAAGAAAATAGCATAATTTTCAAGATTACAAAAAGGAAACTCAATGTGCTGATAAGAAGATAATTTGCGGTTTAATCATGTAAGAGCGGTGTCTTTGGTTGAAAGGTGACATGCATATCTTGATTTAACTTCCTATGGCGATTATAAGATAAAAAAAAGTAACAACAATTACAAACTACATACATGTAGTTTTTGTTGTATTACACCAACAGGTCTGTGCAAATACAGTCTGACCTAATTAGATGCCGTGTGCATGGTCATTTAATAAGAGCTGTCAAAACGTGTCATTTTTTTTTTGTTTGTCACTCCTTTATAAACATCATAAGTCAATAATAAACACTTCATATCGAGAGAGAATAAATTGAGGATTTAAAGCTATGGACTAAAAAAAATCGTGTTGAGTTAATTAAGTTGGAGGAGTACGCGAAACGTTGATTTTTCTTTTTTCATTCATTCATTCATTAATATTTTTTCTTCTTTTTTTTTAAATCCGATTTTTAGATCAATGCCGTAGTGTACTTGTGCGACACACCGATACAATAGTGTATATGCCTTAAGCTTATTTGCGGTACTAATAATTCTTTACACGCTTAAAGTTGTCGAATTACCCATAACCCTTGTTGGGTTTAACCTTTCTGTCGTTGTTAACATAAAACTTCTTTGTGTTCAACCAAAGAGGTCTATCATGTGGATTTCTAGTCAGAAAATATAAGACATTTTTTAATATTTCATTCTTATATTGGCTACAAACACTGGATATATAACGAGCGACAAATTGAATTAAATACATGTTAAATACATGCAAGTGATTAAATACTTTGCTAAAAACTAGTGGTTTGAACAATGGCCAGTGCGACAAGTTCGTCGAAAGGAGAATTTCACATAGGTGGAAAATACAGACTTGTTAGGAAAATTGGCAGTGGATCTTTTGGGGATATCTATCTCGCAATAAATATAGCAAATGGAGAGGTAACGCACACATTTTATGCATATTCGATCGGTATTCCCCTATAAATTTATTAAAGAAACGTGTCATTATCTTGTACAAGTTTCATCATTTTATGTTTATAGAATAACCAAAATATGAGTAAATGACTGTTTTAAACTATTAATATAAAACTTAAAGCGTAGATTTACGTAAATAAATCATTCACGAGCTAGTGAGTTAGGAAAAATTGGGTCCCGAAAAATTCATTCTTTAACCAAAAGTCATTCTTTTCTGTGGCGATTTTTAGTTTGGAAAAGAAGAGTTTACATTTACACAGGTCATAAGTAATAACGTTATTTTTTTCTTTTATAACTAATTGGTAAATAAAATAGATATGGTGACGTCATACAGGAAATATAGGACGCTGTACGTGCTTCCCTTAGTAACCAGGCAAGTGCCCGCCCACTTACCCATAGTTCAATGCTTTTTCTTTGTTGGCAAATAATAGTGACACATTTCGTTCATTTCAACAGCTGATTGTTCAGAAAAAATATAAAGATGAAAATGAAAACTGAGTGAAATAGATGATATTAAAATAAGAATAAATTTTTCACCATGGCAAGTGCATCAAATTCAACAAGCAATTTAAGTAAACGGTCAGAATTTCATATTGGTAACAAATATCGTCTGGTTAGAAAAATAGGAAGTGGGTCATTCGGAGATATATATTTGGGAATAAATATAGCCACTGGAGAGGTATTATATTTTATCAGAACATCATTATTTTTAGATTACTTCAAGTTTTAACTTTAACGAAACAAAGGAAAACAGATTAAACATTCTCTTTTATATTGATCCGATTCGTACACAGACATTTTCGTACCCATGCACTTTTATGATATTCATTGGCATTAATTAAAACAATTTTGTATTTTGTTTATCATTAAGAATGTGATATCAAATACTTAATGTTCTTTACTGAAAATTGTGGTTCACACTTGATGGAGCCTTGATTTCTAACTGGGAAATATTATCACAAATTCAAACAGAAATTAAACCTGGACTGGATCAATGTGTATTTGATTCTTATTCACCAATTCAAAACCTAGCTATTAATTGTTTATCGGTACTCCTTGTACATTCCAGACTTTAGCTCTGGGTAATTCTATAACAGTGTGTAACAGCGACAAGTATGTTTTTGGCATTTTTTGTTTGTTAAAAATAAAATGACATTAACAATTTTCTTTTTTAAAAATGTTCATATCATTATACAAATAATTCAGCGCAAAAATATTTGTAAATACACATGTTTACGCAGAAAATTTTGGCATTTATAATTGTAGAAGGCAATAAGACTGTTTTAATTTTACAGAATTTCATTTCAAACAAATGTCAATTTTTGAATGAGGGATTCCTACTGTACATACAAGTACAAGTAGTAATAGTATACATGTACATCATTACATGATTTATCATTTAATGTCAGAATGAGCTTCATTAAACTTAAAAAGAGGATATTAAATGTTTTATTTTCAAGGGCATAGAATGATAGATATAACAAAAGTATGTTACATTTTTACCTCAATTTGTATATATGATCAATGTCTTTACTACATGAATTTACTGGTAAATAGTGATCAAACACAGAAAGCTGTTTCTTTAATAGGTAATCTGTTCAGTAAAAACAAATGCTTTTCTTAAGCTTACGACGTTTAGTCTTCTTCAGAATTTTTTTTTTATAAAATAACAAATGACACAACGTCATGTCTGATCTGGCAGTACAAAAGTGCTTTAGAATTGCTCTGGCTTCATACTGTAACATGTATGTTTTTTATTGTTACTGCCATGCCTAGAGTTAAACCCTTTTTTTCCAACTTGTAATTTTTTGTGAGAAGAAGAAATATTAACTTGAAAATCCAACTTTAGTATTTACAAATATTTTTGTTAAAATTTCATTGCTTTTTGCAAAGTTGTATCAATTTATGTTTATTAAGTAATAACTATCTGCTACACTAGCAGAAGTTTGCCAGTGTAAAGAAAAGTTACTGGCATTTGTCTATTTTGACTTGCATGTTACAAGTTTGCTAATGCTAAATTCGAGCCCTGACTTCTTGTACTCAATCAGTTTATAAATGTTATTAACATTTATTTTACTTGTTGCAGGAGACAGCTGTCAAATTAGAATCACAAAAAGCAAGACATCCACAATTGTTATATGAAAGTAAATTGTACAAAATTCTTCAGGGAGGAGTTGGCATTCCACATATACGGTGATTATTGTTACTTTACATAATTACAAAAATATGAAAAAAAAGAGAGGCAATAGTGAGACAACTATTTAGAATTTCGCGTAAGATGGTAAAAAGTAGACATTTTTTTCCTGGAGTATATAATAAGGTTAAAACTGCATAATTTAACTGGGTGAATTATTTCATGCATGTATGTATTGGTCTATTCGAAGCTGTTACATTTTTTTGTTGTTGTTGAAAATAATAGTATTACTGTGCCAAGCTGTTATGTGTTACAAAGTAATGATAATATATAGTTAATATTGATACATATTATTGGTAAGACATTGTCAAAAACCCAATAGCAACTTACCGTAATTATTGGTCAAATTAGCTACTAGATGTACCAACTGACCTTTTACCACTATATGTTGCACTAATTAATATTGTTATCATGCCCTTGATAATACCCCGGGTATTTGGCTGTCTGTCTGTAACTGTGTGTAAGTTATATAAAGTTGCACAATCTTGTTTTCATTAAGTTCCTTTAGGCATATGAAACTATTTGTCTCTTTTTTTTTTTATCTCATATTTTATTTAAGAGTAAAACATGGCAGATAGTGTGCATGTGTTCAGAACATTGTATTTGTCACATCAGAATGTTATTTGATAATCATATTGGTGATATATCTGCATTATTAAACAAGAAGATTATAAGCCAGTATTGTAAATACGCTTGTAATATCCGAGGTATAAGATCAGTTATTTATGAAACAACAAAGACAATATTAAGAATAGAATGAACACAAGACATTTTTGTCAAGCTATGAATGTTAAGGTGTAGAAGTAAGGTACATGTATTTTGAATATATATAGAATTTTATTTATACTGTAACTTTCTTACACTCTAAATTACTGGCTTGAAATTTAAGTTAAATTTATATAGACAATAACACTGAAAAATCATGTTAAGTTTGAAAACAATTCTTCCTTCTGTCTGTTTTTTAACAAATTACAGTAAGAATAAACTTGAAGTCTTTCTTTCAGTTTTTTTTTAGACAAAATAGGTCATTAATTACAGTTAAATGTTTTCTTCAAAATGAATTAAGATTTCTTTTTGTTATTTTTTAACAGTGAAGTGTTATGTCAACAAAAGAATTTAAGACACCCGTATGAACTGTTATAAACCCGAAATCGATCCTAAATTTAACCCCATTACACATCTTATATTACAAATATTGATCCAGGGTTGAGCAAACAAAAATAGAAATGTATCTATGCAGATTACTGCCTGATATTGTCCACAGTGTGTAAAGACTGCAGTAAAGAATTTCATTGAGCATGCATATTCAAGATTGTACTATTCAACCTGGTTGTCATTTACAATGAAAGTACAATAATGTTTATTGATTTTCTCAATGAAACAAAGACAAAACTGGAAAAAAGCACATGTGTACATGTATATTGACTTTTAAACTTAAAATAAATCAGTACACTTCTTTAGAATGAAGTGTAGGAAGTATTTTGTCTCGATATTTGAGTAACCATGGATAGAAATACGTTCACTCCTTTTACCTACTTAAATGGGGCCAGAAAAAACTGGGGCAGATACTTAATGTCAAATTTTGCAAAATATCATGTAGGAGCCATTAGAAAATTAAATTAAAATTTCATAGTTAGAGATTTTTTATAACAAGAAGCCAAAGGAAGAAGTAAAAAGGCTTTATGTTTTCTTTAAGTCTAAAAAAAAAAGTCCCCTGAAAAAGAATTATTTAGTACAATAAAAAAAACGTATTTAAGGCATACTGTCCTTTCTTGTTAAAGTCATTCTTTATACAATCGTAAGGCTCGTATTTTTCGAAAACTATTTTTCCAATTAACATTTCCTATTATTAAATTGAAAATCAAGAAACGCTGAAAATTTTGGCTTTTTTTAATCAAAAATACTTTAAAGTTCATATAGGTGCCTTTTATGACCAAAAAGTCATGTGCAAAAAACAAAAGTGTTGTATGACTTTTTGTACAAATTGTAAATGATTTTTGTTTCATAAGAAGCTTTGGGTCATGTTTTCCTGTAATACTATGTACAAGAATGTAGTTTGCCCTTAAAGCAGCACGCCTCCAGATTCATGCTAATTTTCATGAAAATTTTGAAAACATATTTGAATGTGATAATATTGTGAATTAACAAAAGGAAGCAATTTACACATTATCAATGACACAAACTACTTAAATTACTAAAAAGTGGTCAAAATATGCATAAATAGCCTTTACTGTGTTAGTAACGCAGTAGAAATATTGCTGTAAATACTGAATTTCAGTCATTAATCGCACATAATATGTAAAATATTACTTGAATCTTCAAACTCTTTACCTTTCCTTACATCTTTGTACTTTTTTCTCAAGTTTGATTTTATTGAAATTTTTTGACTCATCTGGAGGCATGTGCTTTAAACCTTATTTATAATTTTGATTAAATTTATTCCATTGCTAACAAATCTATTCTTCACCTTCATTTTAAATGAAAGTAATATATGTTTTATAAACTTAATTTAGATTTTCAAGTCTGGATCATTAAAAATGATGTTTTAAAATGATTCAAGTTGGGAAACATTAGTAACAATATTATGTTTTAATACAACCGGTATGTTTAACAAAAAAGGGTGGATAATATTGTATAAGATTGAGTCATATCAACCATGAAGGTGATGAAGATATAGGCTAGCAGTCTTCGACTTAACCCACTCGACCGACGACCGAGTCGAGTAAATTTGCGGGTGGTCGAGTGAAAACTCCAAGCTGGTAGCCCTTCTGGTCGAGGGCTTTTTTCATATCCAAATTAAGAAAATGTTGGAAATATGCAGAGCTCCAGATAGCAATGTTTATGCTTTATGAAAATACAATATATTTCTGCTGAATTGGATGGAAAACTAAAAGTACTATTGTCAACACTGCTGTAAGTTGAAAACGAAAGTAGCAGGAAGTGACATCGAGTAAAAAGGGAAGATAACTCTTGGGAGTTTCTGAAATGAAATTATTGATAAAGTTAAATTTGGTGTAATCATCGTAGGACTTAACCTAATATTCAATTTGTTTAGACATATATTATAATGTTTTTGCTACAAAATAAAGAAAAATGTTGTACTTGCCACTTAAGTTATTGGAAAACATATTTCTCCCTTGCCATCTGCAGTTTTGTACTCAATATTTTCGTACCAAGTTTACAGTTACGGACAATTTCCTCAAAGACTAATTCTTTGTGTTATTATATTTATTTTTCATTAATTCTAATTTCAATTATAAATAATCAACACCAAAGAACGGCACTAAAATGTTGTCTGTAGAAATAGAGTATGAATAAAGCCTCATGCTGACCATGTAGCTGATTGTAAAAGAATGTGACACATTCAAACAACAAAAAAATGAGTCTTGTCATTCATTTGCTGTGTACTAGTCTAGGAAAGCCTGCCTTAACAGAGCAAGTTTTGTATTATTTCACATTGAATCAATATTTTATTATATAAGTCAGTCTGATTTATGTTAAGAAAGGAACTTTTTAGAAGGCAATAAAATTTGATAACAAAACAATGCAAATTCTTTTTATAAATTTTACCCCAGAATTTTCATTTTACTCTAGATTTTGATGAGTAAACCACCTTGGACCTATAAACTATTTGCAGCTTTATTGAACTTAAAACGCTTATGAAATATTGATTGTGAGACATTTATTAGGCGTCATCTCATGCTTCACAATATGTCTTTTCTCTTGTATTTTGAAGGCACTAAGCCAAAAAGGAACACACCAAAAAAAAAAGTAATACGAAAAGGAATATAAATATGTTGTCAAAGCATGTATCAGCGGACATGGTTATAGTAAACGAGGAGAAGAGTATTTTCAGTTTTTAAACAATTTTTTTCAGTGTCTGTGGACAATGCCACAGAAATATCAAAATATCTTCTTTTCATATGTAGTTTAAACTCTTCTTATTTAAATAATGAAAGGAAGAAAAGTTGATTAGTTGATATTTTAATAATGTTAAATGGTATATAAAACATATAGAAAGTGTTATTTTTGTACAAAATGTATGCAAAAAATACCATTTTGGTTCGGGCTAGATAAAATGTGTTCGGGCTAGTGAAATTTGTTAGCTGCTAGCCCGACTGGGCTAGTGCTGATAAAAAATTAAGGCGAAGACTGGGCTAGCATATCCGGTTTCCAGATAATATGAGGGATGGATACAATAATTATATAATAAAAATAGAACTAAAATCATGACTATGTGTCACAAAATCATGTTTCTAGTTATTAATAATCATAGGTATTTTATATAGACTAGTTCTTTGAAAAAACTTTCTTGTGAACATGATTTTAAATATATTCACATTAAGCAAGCCATTGCACAGGTACTAGATAAAGATGGTTAACCGGTACAAACTGATGTGTTTTTTAGATATATAGACAAGTGTAATGGACCATAAAAATATTTATTAGTCAAGTGAAATTGTCCCACACACAATCCAATAATATATCAAACATAATTTTGTCACACACATAAATATAATTCTATAAATCTTTTCAAAAATATTTTGATTAGCTATTTATGATACATTTGTTATAGTATATAGTTCTGTCAAGTTGGGTTTACTTTATAAGTGAGAGATCAAATTTAAAGATCATATTAAACTAAGACTGGTAAAAATAGAAAGTGTATTCTGCCCTATGGCATTGCTTTTCACATTTTGCAAGGAAATTGATCAATTTACTACAATTAAAGTATTTTATGGCCAGGACATTTTTATCACCTGTTCAAATATGTTTCATTTTGATGTGGGTATCTAAGTCATATTTCTTCTTAAAAGTAGACCTGTGACTGAAGTTACTGAACTAAAACATTCTAATTCCATACACCTTCAAACAACTAAGATAAGATAAAAATTGTTTAGCTTACAACACAGCTTTGTTGTATTATTTGAAAGTCTTATTGGCCATTACCTGTTAAGTTTCTTGTATTTTCTATTATATTTCATTTATATTTATTTACTTAAAATTTGACTCACAAAAAGTACATTATATTGTTAGTTATAAAGATTTTTTGACAGGTTATATCAACTTATATGTTATATGGCCCTATATAAACTGTTGTTTGGAAATATAACCCAACTGCTTAACTTTTTTTTTATAAAGATTGTTTCACCTTATTTTAGATATACCCATTTCTGAGTTCATCTAAAATGAAAAAAATAGAAAGAAAAGAATTCAAATACATATGTATGTAAATTAAAGAAATATATTTATATATGAGCCTTTTTTCCAAACAAAACTCAATTATAAATGTATCAAATAGACTTGTGACATCCACAGTTTTCTAATTAAAAAATTTGTAAAAATCTTTTCAGATGGTATGGACAAGAAAAGGAATACAATGCACTTGTTATGGATTTATTGGGACCAAGTCTGGAAGATCTCTTCAATTTTTGTTCAAGAAGATTCAGTATGAAAACCGTGCTCATGTTAGCTGATCAGGTTAGTAATGTTAAAAACTTGTTGTGAATTTAAACAAGTAAATAAATTTAACTCTTGACTCATCCATCATGTGTAATGCAATTTTACGTCAGTTTCTTAAATTTATTTTTTACCTTTATATACACACTCAGTTTTAGCGTATTGTATGTTTATATGGGTGTGTCACACAATGTAGACACGTTTTAACACGATTTACTTCAATATGACTAAATAGGGAAGATCATTTCTGTCAACATATTGATGAAATTATGATAACACAAGATAACAACAATATGAAAACCGTGATATGACCTTTTCCTAATCATTCAGCAGTTGTTATTCAGTAAATTTCACACTTCAGTAGGAAAGAAAAGATGTAAAATTATAAGAATGGTGAAGAAATCAATAAAGGCAGGTTATTATGCCAAGTCATTCAACTTTCAACAATAAATAAACATCTCAATATGTTATGATTATTAACCTCACCATGCTAGATTTGTGTATTACCATTACTGTCTTTGTCTTTCTTTCACTTTATTGGGAAGAGGCCTTAGTCTCTTGATTTTGGGGAAAATTATCGCTAAAATTGCTGATTTGGGAAGTAAAGAAGCAGGTTTAAGTTCTGATTTTTGGGAAAACTGCATGATTTCAAAAAAAATTATCGGAGTCTGTTATATATTAAAGAAAATCACTGGCTTTGAAGTTTTAAAAGTCCATTTCAAAATATACATGTATAAATGAATCTGAGCAGTCCTGATTGGAGGACCTACTAGATGTCTTGTGCAGGCTGACTGGATATTTTGCTGATACTGCATTATATATATAGGACCAAACAAGCTCGGTTAAGAGAGATTGAAGGGCAATAAGATGTCTTTTAAATGCTGTTATCTTAGGTGGTACAAAAATCAATATCTGGAATGGTTTTACTTCCGTGTAAATAACATGTATATTTTGATCTGTTTTAAAACATAATCATGGTTTCATTATGATTTTTAAAAACAATTAATTAAAACAAAATTTTGCTAAATTTCAAATGTCATACAGTGACAAAAAAATCAGGTGTTAGTACTATTGTATGAATAGGAATTCAGGTTTGTTAAATATGATGAAAATAGATTACAGCTTACTTTAATTTGACATTTTGTTTAAAGATAAGACATGGTTTTTTTATTGATACACCTTAACCTTCAATGGAAAAGACTTAACTATTTTGGAAACTTGGAGTTGTTTTTTGTTAATGAGGGGGTTTTATATATACCATAGTGATACATGAAAACTTAGCAACAAACTTTGTCAAATTACTGTCAGACAGGCTCGAGACTGATGATATACATGTTACTGATGTATGTTGTTCAATTAAATAATAACTCGGGGAGTGTATGTTTGTGTGTGTACATAAACATGTAAATACTGAAACATTATACCTGTGTATTGTTCTGAGCATAGGCATGAACAAGATATTTGATATAATCTTTGTTTGTACTTTACACACATACTATACTGTACAATGTGGCTTTGTTTGATTTAGAGTTTTTTTTTCAAGTCTGTATGAATAGCAATTAACCATTTAGTTACTGGTAGGTGTAAGGTTACGATATTACTGTCACTATAGTACAGGATACATACATGTGTATGTCTAAGTTAAAAAAAAACCTATGTAAAAATAAATGTAAAAATATAAAGTGTAATAATTATACTAAATATAATTATGTTAAATATAAGGGATAATTTGATGATAAACAGTCAAGGAAATAAATTTTATGACCAATTAGACAACCAAGGGTGTAAGCAAACAATCATAAGCAACATTTGATTAAAAGTTGCAATCTGTTGATGATGTCCATTGTCTGTTATGATGTACAAACACTAAAACATTTTTCATTGACCCACTTTCGACAAAGACCAAAATTGAAGTCTTATCAGTTTTTGTTGGTTCTGACATATAATTAAATAGTATGTTTTTAAGTTTAATATATATGTATTTTTATATTGTTTTCATCAGGTCTTTCAGTAATAAACATTGTAATGATTATAATGTAAATTTAGATCCTGAAATTTAAAATCCTGAAATACAGAAAGGGCTGCAAGTAAAAAAAAAAATCTTGTTGTTAGGACAAGGATTTTTAAGTATTTAAAAAATATTGAGGAGGAAATAAAAGGCAGCTAGGCTGTATCTATTAAAATCTCGTAAAATGTTGACACATTAATTGTCTATTATGATGCAAGCTAAATTTTATTTCATGGCAAACAATAACCTGTCATGACAACACTGCTGGGATTTAGTGGCTTAATCACTTCTGACCTACTTTCTTTGTGTAAATATACTGGCTTTGTGTTGTAGTTATATACACAGAAACATACATTAACAATATAACATAAATACATCCCATATTTTATCATAGTTACGTTTATGCCTGTACATTAATATGAGACTTATGGTCATTTGACCCTCAGTGACCTAATTATTTATTGTACATGTTGAAAAGTATAGGTTAACAGCTGATTGATCGACTGTCATGTATGGGCATGTTGTATGTCATTTTGTAAACAAACTTTGATACACTATAGATAACAAACCTGGGGCTATGAAAATAATATAAAAAAACTGAAGGACAAAAATCTAAATCTAACATAATCAAACAAAGCAGATCATTTTGTTTAGCAAAATTGATTTTTTATTTTCCTTAAATGGAAGCCCTCAAATTTTTTTCCCAACAAAAGAATTTGTTGAAAAAAATCATCATGAAATTGGATAAAAAAGTTTACAATCCTTGGCAAATATTATCTGTGTTTATGTTCTTTAAGGTATAATAGCTTTAATGTAAAAGTTTTGTGTTGATAGAATTTTTCTTACATGCAACATTTTTTTTTATCTCATTTGAGAACATATTTTTTTTTCTAGAGTTGCTATGTATATTACTATTTTTCCTTTGTATGATGATAAATTTACAGCAAGAAAATCATTTTGTGTATTTTATGATATCTATTTTAGATGATCAACAGAATAGAGTATGTCCACAATAAGAATTTCATCCACCGTGATATAAAACCTGACAACTTCCTCATGGGTATTGGAAGGCATTGTAATAAAGTAAGTAATTATCATGTCATCATTACAAATATAAGTGATGTAAAACCCCATTTATTTTTGTATGATAATTCTGGTCGCAGATTTTAAAGAAGTGCACAGTTTTAGTATAGTAAATAATGAGGTTTCAGCATTGAAGTACAAAAATAAAAAAGTGTCAGTCAGCAATCGCAGAATTTGGTCAGACTGCATGGATATGCTAGCTACATAAGCTCAAATGCAAGAATCTGCTTTGAGGGTTACCAGTATAGTAGGAAATGATTTATACACAGTAACAGTAATTATTACTGTATTATACGCCTCTTGGACATTCTATTGCATTTAATTTTCTTTAAATAACCCTTTTTGACATTCTATAGAATTCATTCATTTTTGTATATAACCATTTTTGATATTTATGAGTCTGTATTTCTGCATATTGGCCTTTTTGACATTTTACAGTTATTTATTAGAGCTGTATAATCCTGTTTGACATTCTACAGTTTATATCTCTGCAATATCCCAATTTGACATTCTACAGTTTGTATCTCTGTAATATCCCAATTTGACATTCTACAGTTTATATCTCTGCAATGTCCCAATTTGACATTCTACAGTTATTTATTAGAGTTGTATAATCCGGTTTGACATTCTACAGTTTATATCTCTGCAATGTCCCAATTTGACATTCTACAGTTTATATCTCTGCAATATCCCCATTTGACATTCTACAGTTTATATCTCTGCAATGTCCCAATTTGACATTCTACAGTTTGTATCTCTGCAATGTCCCAATTTGACATTCTACAGTTTATATCTTTCAATGTCCTAATTTGACATTCTACAGTTTATATCTCTGCAATGTCCCAATTTGACATTCTACAGTTTAGATCTTCAATGTCCCAATTTGACAATAGGCTGTATATATACCCTGCACGTTATTCTGTTAATGATCAGAGAATATGTGATTTCAAAACAGAAATAGATTGTCATTATCATATACTCTATTCCTGAACATTGAGAAACAGTCAAGTTTTCTATAGTAATAGTAATTTCATAGCCCATTATGTGGATAAAATATTTATAATACCCTGAGCTTATAAAAGCTCATGCAACCCCACTGCTTTCTATCAACTGTAACTTTCAGCTGATGACATTAACTTACCTATTAAATTCTATTAAAGGTAATAATCAGGAATTAAATTTCCATTAATGAAAATTGTACTTGCGAGTACAATTGTGCGTGTAAATATGAACCTGATTTTCTAGCCACGTGTTTAGAAGACATTATCATTATTGTCTTTTACCATGAAATATTCATATTGATTCTAAAACCAAATATAGCATTTCATTAATTTCAACCTCATTTTTTTCTCCTATCACACGTAGTTCATTCAAGTGTCTAGCTGAAATTAGGAGTGTTTTTACACGTAACAAAAAGATATACGATAGCCGTGTGTTTGTAATCACATGGTTGTGTAATCAGTAAAGATACAAACACGTGTAGCAGTATTGTGGTGTATAATGACATTTGTGATATTTAAGCAGATGCATGACTTTAGTTCTTGAAACAATGACATCCTCGTGTTCGGTTTTATGTTATGTAAGTTGTAGTTAAAAGAAATTATCTGGGAGACTACAAGTAAAAAAGTAAAAAGTGATGGGGAGGGATGGGGGCTATGTATGTCACTGAATGATGTATGTATGTTGTAAGTTAAATCCTGTTATCTTTACCATTAAAGGAGATTCATTGTAGGTCCACTTTTCAAACAAAAAAGTGAAACTACTGTTAAATTATTGGCATTAGGTAACCTTTACGTAATTTTGTTCCATTTCTCAGAAACTATTAAAATTTGAAAACATTGTTCACTATAACAACTATTAAAATTTGAAAACATTGTACACTATAACAAATGTGACATTATGTCAAACAGTCTCTTAACATTAATCTTTGCAAAGTTTTGCCCCTATTGCCAAGTATTTGATTTATTTACTGTACAACATATGGAAAGATATACCAGTAGTAATTTAAATTGTCCGTTATATCAACTGAATATAATCTATTGTTCAAAAAAATTAGTACAAGAAAAGGAATTTCTTTTTTGTATAAAGATCACAATTATTTCATGAAGTAATAAATGTATTTTTCTCAATTTCAGGTATTTTTAATAGACTTTGGCTTAGCCAAAAAATATCGGGATAGCCGAACTAGACAACATATACCCTACAGAGAAGACAAAAATCTCACTGGAACTGCCAGATATGCTAGCATTAATGCACATTTAGGTAATACAAAATTCAATGTTTATTATAATCAGTGAGATGTGGTTTATTTACAGAAGGACAGTTATAGGAAGAAACCTCTTTTTTTGGAGAAATTAGACATCCTTATGTATAGTTAATAGTTAATCTACTTTGGCAGCTTGATGTAAAAGAAATTTGGTTTGGGATGATGTGATGTGACTTGGTATAGCCTATAGACCTGTGTCATAAAAGAAATTCACCTTTGGAGTGATTTGTTTATAAAGCAGGATTTAAAATAATTTCATTACAGTTCAGTTTTTGTTTTGTATTATTTAAGTGAGGAAGTTGATGCATAATTTTGTGATTAGATCTTTTTAACAAATCATTTCTTCTGAGAATAACTAACAACAGATTTATGCATATACTTAATTACATGTATTTGAGAATTTTGAGGTACACATATCTTATAATTTTTTAGCGCAATATTTATTGTGAAATCAGAGAAAACAAATTTTTTATTTTGTAGAATGTGAGTGTATATTGAAATGATACTCTTGAGCCCTGTTAGTGTATCATTAATAATGTGTTTGAATCTAAAATTCCAGTTAAGAATAATATGCAATTTTGTATATATTATAATCATTTAAATTTGATGTACATCTTACAGGAATTGAACAAAGTCGTCGTGACGATATGGAGTCTTTAGGATATGTACTAATGTACTTCAACAGGGGCACTCTACCATGGCAGGGACTTAAGGTAAATTATTGTACACAGAGATATTTTATTGTAACCAAAAATTTTTTGCATTTATGCATTGTTTAACATTTACATGATGAATTACAAACATTAAGTTATTAAGAATTTAGTCAAAATTTTCAGTAGCTTTAAAAATACATTAATTTGTAATACATTATACATGATAAATTTCTCCCAATTAGATGCAATAAATTTAATGACACAAAAATGAATTTCACACAGATGCAGATTATCAACAAAATATGATTGATATTATGAATAAATTTTGAAACAGACTGAACAAAAAAAATCATCATAAGTGTGAAGTAGAATTCTAACAGATAAAGTGATTCAAATGCATGGAAAACTTGTTTACATTTTATTAATCATCAACTTGATCAAAGTTTATAAAATTTTCAAGCATGAAATGTGTATCCGATATTTATAAAAAAAATCAAAAATCAAATCTTTGTACAACATGAATATGTAATTACATCAAGAAAATTGTTTTTGGCCTCTTTGACAAATGTGTAATACACTTTATAACTATCTGATAGATAAGTGACATTAGGTTTACAATGTTTCAGGCATGAATGGCTTCTCAATGAAAAACACTGGAGTAAAATGATAACAATTTAGTCTTACATAGTGAGCTTTTGCTATGTCAATAAATAATCCTTAATTTTATTATTTTATTTTCAGGCGGCAACTAAAAAACAAAAATATGAGAAAATCAGTGAAAAGAAAATGTCAACTCCAGTTGAAGTATTATGTAAGGTGAGTTGAAACAATTATTTCTTATCACCCTATGGGCCCTATCCTATTAGTCTTTGTCCTATGTGAAAATCACTATTTTTCTCAGAGTGGTGTCAAAATTTATCCAAAATTTACAATTTAGATGATGTAGGAACTTTCATGTACAATTTAACATATCTACTCATCTTGTCTGGTTTTATATTATAAAACCGTCCCTGAGATTTCTCTTTAGTATGGCTAGTAAATTGACCCTCAGCCTGCTATCAGCAACTGAAAATGCTTGTACCTGTGCCACAACTGTGCATTTTGATCATAGTCTGCAATGTTCACTATTCAGCCAGAACATTCTTTTTTAGTTTTCCTTAAAACATGAAGAATAATTTTGTCCAGATTGAAAGATGAACAAGTCCGTTGAAGATATTTATTTTGTTGAGCATTAATTGTTTTTCTGGTATTGTATTGACAGGGCTATCCAGCAGAGTTTGCTATGTATTTGAATTACTGTCGAGGACTACGATTTGAAGAAGCGCCAGATTATATGTATTTACGTCAGCTGTTTAGGATACTATTCCGCACCCTCAATTATCAGTATGATTACGTATTTGATTGGACAATGTTGAAACAAAAAGCAGCAGGAAGCTCATCGGCTGCTCATGGCTCACAAGCATTAGCAACAGCAGGTAGGTGTTAGACTGAATAAGCTTTCTATAACTTTTCTATATATAGTTAATCTATAATAGTATAAAAAAACTTACATAAATGTTCAAGTTCTTTGGATACTTTGACACGCAGAATCTGATGCAATCAGATAGATAAATCTGAACAGTTTTGCATGTCCACTCATCAAGAGACCAGGATGTAAACTCACAGGAATTTCTGGGACGTCCCATCTTACCAGGTCAAACACCACTATATTTCTGTTGGGGCAATGACCACTACATATATATTCTAAACTAACTCAATTTGTCCTAATTAAGGTTGGTAGTTGTCATGTGGCACAGCAGCTTTTTGCAACTTTTAGTGCTGAATGTGATAACTGCCGGCCTGTGCATCTTTGCTTAAAGTTAATCCATGCCAGTGATTATACTGTTTGAATGTTGTACTAATCTTTGAATGTATTCACTTCTAAAATTATACTAGAGGTTGTCCTTCAAAAATTTCTGAGATGGCTCCTTAAATACAGTAGTGTTCTTCAAGCTTTTAAGGTTACCCAAAATGCATTTGAGGCAGTCATTTTAGCTTCCTGCCATCACTGTCATGTATATCTACTATCACATTGCTATAAGTAAATAACAGACACAGGGGAGGAAAAATTTATTTTAAAGATATACTATGCTCAAATTTGATATTAGAAAATATTGATATTTGCTACACATTCTTTTTGTAAAAAAAATATAAACATGTTTGACTTGACAGACAGTGGATATGTTATGTTTAAAATTCTGCGCACTATAGGTTGTCACCATATGAATATACATTATGGTGTCATTTAAAAAAACTGGCAGGTTTTTAAGAAAAGATCAACTTTACTTGACCTGTAATTGGAAACAAAGCTTCCTTTACATAGTTTATTCATTGTTTTATTCCAGTTAGACATAGTCAGTTAGAATTTCATGGATTTCAATAAATTTCTGTGATTAAAATACATGTATTTTACTTAGGGATGAGCATAGTATATTTATAATAATATAATGAAAGTTAAAGAAAATAAGTTTATTGTGATTTTTAAGAGAATTATAGAAAAAAAGGATATATAGTGATGAAAAATATATCAATGATTTATTCCTAAGAACTAATGCTAAATTTGTACATTTAGATTTCGTAATTTAAAAAAAAAAATTTGTTGTGCATTTTAAAACCTTGTAGTATTGATTTTATCAAAACATATGCATTTTTAATAAGAATTATTGATAACCTTTATTAAATTGTGGAATAGGTGTACTTAAACACAGTTTTATGGTTGTTAAGTTTCTAAGTGTATAGAGATTAAAATGGATTAAATTTAATCCTAATCTAACATTTATGCTTACTTTGTGTGCAGTTTTAATATTATAATCATTGAATTATACCACTTTATGAGATTAACCATATGTTTCTATAAGTCAAATATTTCCTCCAATGTGTGTATATAGAGATTGTATACATGAAACAAAACTCAATATTTGCTAAGAGCACATCATTTAAAGGCACATTATGCCTAACAAGCAAATAAATGGTTTCTTCTTTAAAAAGGACATACTGATACATAAGCTTAATACTGTTTAAATTTTGGTTTTTTGATATAAAGATTAAAAGGTTTTCCGATAAATGCATTCATTGTGTTTTATTTAATTCCCATGTTTTATTTGTTTTTTTTTGTATTGGAAAGATAACCATTCAGAATTGTATTTCGACCAATCATAAAAGTGTTTTAAATGAAAAATTGGCTGTTTAATGTTGTTATATACAGTATTTTAATCTGAAAATGTTAATGATTTAGTTTTGATTCATGTTATGCTTAAATACTGATTTAATACACCCCTTCACCCTTTTAAGACAACTAGAAACTTGCAATCATAGTTGAATAGACAACAAATTGTTATAACACATTGATGACAAAATTCCTTTAAAACCTGATATTTACAGTGCTCTTATTTCAAAGTTGCTGGTGAAAATTTGACAGTAGCAACACTCCTGAGTGGTTATTAATTGGTTTTTAATGTGATTTGTAACATGGCAGTAAATTGTTGAGTAACTAATGGTTGTGCTGATTGCTGGGGCCTACACATGGCATTGGATATTTATGCATAATATTTAAATTGTTTCTATGAAACATTTTGATAATTAAGCCATTAAAATGTACATGGTTTCTTGTAACACAAGATTCAGGCAAGTAAGTTATGTTTGTAAAATTAAATGCCAACTTCTGCCACATCTTATTTCTGAAATAATCATAAAATAAACTGTATATATGGTTTCTGTTTTCAGGGCGATGATAGTTTTAAGGAGTGTTTCCAGGGATCTCGTTCAACAATCAAACTGTGATCACTCATGATTGATTGAAGAAACAAAAGAAAACACTTAATTATATATAGAGTGCTTGAGAAATATCCATTGACACAGTCATTTCATTAATTTCAAAAAAAAAAGAAAATCAACATTATATTAGAACTTTGAGAAGTTAGAGTGTAAAGTAAGTACCGGGCAAGTGTTTAAAGGACCATATGTTGGACAGTATTGAGGCATTCACATTCTATTTTATGTCACTTTTTTTAAAGAAAGAGGAAGAAATACAATGACTTTTTTGTGTGATTTTTTTTATTATATATGATTAATATTGTTATTTTACATGGCCTCTGCTACAAGTTCCTTGAGATGAAATTTTTTGTTTTTTTGTTTTTCAAAATCATTACTTTACAGAAATATATTTGAAAGAAGGTCAACATGATTTAAATAGTTCAAGTTAACATTATGCTTATTATATTGATATTATATAATTCTGTTGATAATGATAAAACAGGCAAAGTAACCCAAACCATTCACAAAATATGATAATGTAAGCATAAGAGCTTGTATACAATAAACTAATATAAACCATAAACACTTAAGAATATGTTTCTGAAACATTTTCATTATATCTTACAGTGGATAGAATGTTTGATTTTTGTATGCTATGAAATGTTAGACTTTTGATGTTATAACTCTTTACTTGAGGAAGGTAAATAAGATTACAGAATAGTGTTTATGCAGTAAATTATTCTAAAGAGGGTGGGCCAGGAAAAGGGGGGTGGGGTTAAAGATGATTTTTTGCATATTGTACATGACCACCAGTCATATTTATTTTTAAAATGTATGTAGTAGGCACAGACAAAGATTTAGTTGGTTGTAATTTTATTCACTTTTTGTTTGTAATATAATTTTTTGTGTTATTTTCTCTGCCTATATTTATTTATATTCTTAATCTTGTTGTGGAGAACAGGAGATTCTATACAAATGTTGATACAAAACATTAAAAGTCTGTCATTTAACTTTAGTTATCATATGAAGGAACTGAAATTGCATTTTCAAGCCAAAATGAGGTGTTTCAATGTCACTCTTCTCAGGAAAGTCATCATAAAAGAAATACATTTTCCATTTAATGGATGGGAAAATAAAGATGTATAAATTAGACTGAATGTGGTGAGCTTTTGTCTCGTTATTATTTTAATATAATTGTTTTGAAGAACCAGTCTGAAATCTAAACAGATTTCTAGTTGTAAATGAAACCAGTCTAAGTTTTAATAAATAAAACCAGTCTAAGTTTTTGTAGATAAAACCAGTCTTAAGTTTTTTTTATAAATAAAACCAGTTTTATAAATTAAACCAGTCTAAGTTTTTGAAAATTAAACCAGTCTAAATTTTTGTAATTGAAACCAGTCTAAGTTTTGATAAGCAAAGTCAGCGTGACCAATAGCTGTGCTATATGTTAGACTGGCATTTAAAGTTGTTGAAAAGTTTGATCTAAAATTAAGAGCTCTTTGAAATAGTGTAAAGGCAGAAATTTCGTTTCTCTGTTAGGTATTTGCCTTTGAAACCAATTTTATTTTTGTCAAGTAAAATAATGTCTTTTAATGTATTAGAGAAATGGATTTCACTGTCTTAATTGTTTCTTAATGACATATACCTTTGCACATTCAGTCTTTTAATTTCACCACTTTTTCTTGTTTTGTTTGATGCCATTGTAAAATAAATTTGTTTTTATTATTATTTATTTTCTGCATTAGCTAAATAAATGTTGTTATCAAACTCCATATGAGTAAACTTGAGCAGAATGGTTGAAAGAACCATATACCTCATACAATGGTTGTTAAGTTTTTGTGTAAAATGTAGCAATAATAATTTTACTAAATGAAGGTATTACTCTATGATATATACTTAATATTCCTCCAGCAACAAAGAATAAGGAAAAATAGCTTCTTTTTAAAAAAAAGTCATTTAATTCAATTCAATTCAACATCAAATAATTTCAGTTCCAAGACTCAGACTTACTTTTAGCTGTAAATAATTCAGTATACATGTAGTGATTAGGTTAAACAAGACTCAAGATCATATATCTGTTCATTAGTGCGGTCAAACCAGGCTTATATGTACATTAGTGCAGTCAAACCAGACTATATCTGTACATTAGTGCAGTCAAACCAGACTATATATGTACATTAGTGCAGTCAAACCAGACTATATCTGTACATTAGTGCAGTCAAACCAGACTATATCTGTACATCAATGCAGTCAAACCAGACTATATCTGTACATTAGTGCGGTCAAACCTGGCTTATGTACATCAATGCAGTCAAACCAGACTATATCTGTACATCAATGCTGTCAAACCAGACTATATCATTATTCTGTACATCAATGCAGTCAAACCAGACTGTATCTGTACATCAATGCAGTCAAACCAGACTATATCTGTACATTAGTGCAGTCAAACCAGACTATAGCTGTACATCAATGCAGTCAAACCAGACTATATCTGTACATTAGTGTGGTCAAACCTGGCTTATGTACATCAATGCAGTCAAACCAGACTATCTATATCTGTACATCAATGCAGTCAAACCAGACTATATCTGTACATTAGTGTGGTCAAACCAGGCTTATGTACATCAATGCAGTCAAACCAGACTATATCTGTACATAAGTGTGGTCAAACCAGGCTTATGTACATCAATGCAGTCAAACCAGACTATATCTGTACATGAGTGCAGTCAAACCACTTTCTACATTTAGTGCACACTTTGATTAATGCTTGAATATCTTTAAAGTTTCACTGTGATTATTTAATACAATGTATTTACATTTCACCAAAACATGACAAGTGTTTTGTACATGTTTTATTAGAGGTGTTTTATGAACCAAGAGTTTTTATATGTTTGTATAAGATGATGTTTTAAAAGGTGGATTTTTAAAGAAACACTTCTGAGTTATATGGAGGTGTTGCCAAACCAAAACCGTACATATTGTTATACTATGTGTGTAAATTTATTTAAATCAATCTATTATTCTTGTTAATGTTGCAAAAGTTATGCTTTTTTGTGTGTTTTCTTGAAAAGTTAAACATCTGAATTATCAAGTTGAGGATCAATGACAGAGATAGAGAGTCTCCTTTCATTTTACCACATGTATAAAAAGTATAAAAAATGCTGTTGTTTTGTTGTTGTTGTTTTATTTATTGTAATTTCTTTCTTTTCCTTTCAAACAAGTATTTGCCAGTTGAAATGATAGATGTCAGACTTTTGCTAGTGGTTTTTATACCTAGATACTATATAATAAAAGGATCAGAATAATTTATACAGTAAAATATACAATAAATATTTGTTCATTACAATCACACTATTTTGTATTATTCTTCACAGTATGAAATATACTGTTGTACACAAGAATTGTAAGAAAAATAACAGTATTTGAGCCGCGTCACGACAAAACCAACATAATGGGTTTGCGACCAGCATGGATCCAGACCAGCCTGCGCATCCGCGCAGTCTGATCAGGATCCATGCTGTTCGCTTACAAACGCTATAACAAGTGGAGAAACTGATAGCGAACAGCATGGATACTGATCAGACTGCGCGGATGCGCAGGCTGGTCTGGATCCATGCTGGTCGCAAACCCATTGTGTTGGTTTTGTCATGACATGGCTCATTTATTTTTTGGAAAAAAGGAGGTGTGATTGTGTTGACCGACATGATTTTTTATATTGTTTTATTTTTTGTAACTGTGTTTATGCTATACTTGGCTAGTGATGGTGAAATGAAATTTTTTTGTCTTAAATTTTTGAAATTAATTTAAAATAGATTTAAAAATTTTGTCCCAGAAATGCCCTTTGTTTAAAAATTGGAAGAAAAAAATTACCTTTTTTTTATTTTTTTTTTTAAATCCCTCCGCCAAAAAATGCCCGGGGGCATATTTACCCCTGTTCCGTCATTCTTATACCTTTCATCACCAGTATCCTTTTCATTATTAGTAAGGGGTTGCACAAAATTCAACTAAATTTGACTTTAAGGGAATATACAGAAAAAAAAAAGGGGCCCAAATTTTTTTTAATTTGGCTTTATTTCCAATAATTTTTAACGGGGAAACCCCCTCTTGATAAATTTTTTCATTTTACTTAAATTTTTTCCCCCAAATTATTACACATTCAAAAAAAAAAAAATTCAAATTTGATATATGGATACGTTAAAATGGAATGCCCTGGCAAGTTTGAATTTGGTAATGGTTCAATGATTTTTTGGCAGATGTTATGCCCTTTAACTTAAAAATAATAAGGAACTCGTTCAGTTTTCCGTTCATTATCTCCCCAACATTTGTACATAATTCAACTAAATTAAAATATGGATATGTAAAAGGAATTGCGCAAGGTCCAAGTTTGAATTTGGGGTCATGGTTTCAATGATTTTTGGGCAGTTGTAAAATGCCCCTTTCATTTTTACTTTTGGTAAAAAAAGGAAATTTTCAGTTTCCGTTATTATCTCCCCAACATTAAGTACGTACATTTCTACTCAAATTTAACATAATGGATATATCATAAAGAAATACCCCCTGGTCCAAGTTTAATTTTGGGTCGGGTTTTTAAATAACTGAAAAAGATTTAAACCCAAAAAAATAAAAATTTTTTAGTTTCTTTTTCATGGTTGTACCTTTCCCAACTCAAAATTTGACATATAGAATACACTCTAGGAAAAAGCATTTTCAAGTTGAATTTTGGGTCGTGGTTTTTAATGATTTTTGGACAAAAGTAATCCTCTCTTGAATTCGGGAAAATTTTTGAAAATTTTCAGTTTCGGGATGCTGTGACTCATACGTTTCTAAGTGGATCCCGGGTTATGAAGTCATGAACCACATTAGGCCCCCAAAATTTTGAAGAAATGCAAAAATTTAAAATTGTGACGGATTCTAAGAGCTGAAGGGGATACATTTGGAACCTATGTGATCCCTAAAAATTGACCGGGCTGAGGCAGAGTTTTTTAAACTTCAACCTCACTTTTTGATCTTATCTAGGGGGTTTGTCCACCTTACAGGCTTGCTGGATAACTAATCACTTTTTATCCCGTAATTACATTTTTCGGCAAGTGACTGACAACTAATCCCACATGATTTCTGAATCCCAGTTCCCACAATGAGAGACTGTTTGTCCAAATGTCTATGGTCATAAAACAAACAGAAATTTTGACCCGAGAAATAAACATGTGACCAAGAGGTGTTTAAACCATTTCAATGACTTCTCCTTTTACATATTTATAGGATTTATGTTTATGATCCACATAATATATTAATCTCTTTCGAAAGATCTTTTTTGGAAAACATAATTTTAATGCTGAATACGACTGCATACATAAATCAACTGCAAGTAATGCTATATTTTTTTTCTATTTATCAACCAACTGCTTTTCAATGCAGGGAGTTAGCTCATTTCTCCACTATCCTTTGGAGTGGGGGCTGCAGATAAAACTGACTTGGGCATTTTATCTTGTGACTACATTTGTTTAAAAAAATTTCAGTCTTGTACAGATATATACTGTTCAGGGTTTAGCCATGCTAATAAATGTCCCCGGAAGAGTTTACAAGGATTGAGCCCTGCTTTAACAGATCTCATATTGCCCTTTCAGCCTTAATATTTTGCCCTCAAACAGTATTGACTTCTGACAGGTTGGCACCCCTACAATATAACACTACCAATAAGCCATGTTTTAACACTATGTTTATATAATGAAAATGACGACATGTCAAAATATGTGCACAGCCATGCATTACTATTTTTACTGATTTGTTAAATCAGCATGGGTATGTGATAAAAGCCAATCTAAGTGGATAAACAGACCCCAGTTTAGGTGTATAAGAATAAGCTAGTTTGCTCTTTGCATGCAGCACATTTACAATGCAAGGAGTAATTGGTAAACTTTAATTTCTTTAGGAAAATGTTGCTGACCTTTGAACCTAATCAGAAAGCAAATACAACAAGAACTGTCGGAGGACAGTGATGCTCGACTATTCAAAAAAGTTGCCACAAGGGTGTTTCATTGAGTATAATAATGCTTACCTATATGAATACATAAAATTGTCCAAATAGGTTCAAAGGCTTGTTACTAAGATGTTTTATCGAGTAAATCACTGCTTGATTATTATGAATGCATATAAGCGTCACAAAAAATGGCACAAACCTTTCAGTAGTTATGGAGATACCAGCATACAAGCAAAAACTAAACCAAGAAATTTAAGTCAAAAAAGGGGCATAAATATGCAAAAAAGCAAATCTGAGTTATGGGACTTGTGCCAATCATGTTAGATGATCACTGAGA